TGCTGAAAATATTCCTCAAAAACAAGTAATTTGGAACACCCTGTACAGAGGGGGGCCGGTGAACATTTGTTTGCAAATTCCAACTGTTATAGTAAAAAAACGTTGTAGGAGGGTAGAGACAAGTGAACTGATTTTTTTTCCAAATTATAATAAATGTTTTAGCCAAGCCCCCGAGCCCTGGGGCGTTAAAAAATTTTCCCTAGTCACATTTTGGATTTGTATAGTAGAAAATGGAGAAGCATCAGTTCACTTATGCCACACAAAAATTTGGTTAATTTATTTCAACCTTTAGCCACGCCCCTGGAGCGCTAAAATTTTTTTTGAAAGGCACAATTAGATATGCTTTAATTGCAACTCATTCAGACAAAACTCGTGGATTTGTCATAGCAAAAAATTGATAGGTATTAACTGACTTGTAGCACACACCACTATGTCTCAATAGTCAACAGATAATCGAAAATCTGTTTCCATGGTGGAACATAGTATTTCGATAATTTTGGAACGTGATGGTTAGTGTTTTAGACATGTGTAGAATCCACCATGACAATAATCATTCATTCATTGACACATTTCTGACCACCACTGCCACCTTTTTGTCGGAAATACACGTTTTGAAGCGCCAGGAATCTGAATCGAACAAAATCACGAAGTCAGTCTGTCTATCTGTACTCTTATTTCTCTTAATCAGTACATTTAATGATTGTTCTCCGACTCGAAAATGTTCCTTCGCATGAATTTTATCCCTTGGGAATACAAGACCTTGCTACAAATCAGGCTGCTAAAAAGTTTTTCCTTGTTGGAACTGCAGTTCGTCTATTCGCACACGTATAAAATTGCAGCTAACTCACAAATCAGATTTTTTTCTCAGAAGTGCCAACTTTACAGGTACTCAAATAAATTTTATTCCGAAATTTTATCAACTACTTAGTTCCAAGTTGTGGTTCTTGAAACCGAACCGCGAAATATTTGTTTCATACAACGATATTTATACGTGGTCACTCCTGAAGGTAAAACGAAAATAATTTGTATTGACGCGAAATAAACCAACCATAATAATAATAAATTAGCGTACCAAAAATGGTACTGGCTCGCATTGGTAACTTCCAAGAATTAAATTTCGCGTACCTGTAGTACGTGATCGCTCGCGAAAATTAGCTTCTCCTTACCTTTTTAACAGCGCTCTCTTTCCCCAATACGGTTCTTGTTATCACTTCTTGTAGTCAGACATACTTTTGTTCATGTTCGCTATGAAGCGATATATTTGCAAATTTTCCTTTGTTGAACATAATAAAAATTCAAAACCAAATTTTGAAATGGCAAAGCAGCCACCTTTTAACAATTTTCCCTAAGAATGTTTTCGGATTTAAGACATAGTCCCTAATTAAAAAATTTCTGTAGAACCCTGGCAATACCAGAGATTTCTGGATTGTTATACATAACAATTCCTAATGTAGCAACCGTGCACAAACAACATATTCTATATCGCTGTGCCATGAATGGTTTATTTAGTAAATTTAGTAGTTAAAAGTGGAGGAGAAGTATGATTATACTTTCCTAGTGCGCTTAATGAGAGGATTCAAGCAAAAGAGTTATATTCCACTCTGAAAGCTACTCTGCCGTGTCGAAAATGTGCTAAGTCATATTGTGTGACATGTCACATACTTTCATCAGTTTCAAATTGTCACTCTACAAACAGCTTATCTAGAATTGTCCATTTACCTTCAAATTGTTACTAACATACACTGCTATAGAATTTTTAAAATTGCAGAATACATGGCCGCTAGTATCCAAGCGGAACTTAAAAGACTGCACAGACGTAAACAATTACAGTACAGCGCATACGCCTCCGATGGCAGTAGTTCAGGTGGTGAACAAGTCGAAGGAGCACCTTCACGTCCCAAAGATAGAGCTTTGTTTACATTTAAACAGGTAGGTCTTCAAATCTGTATAATAACAATAATCAACAACAGTACGACGCCTTCGTTAGATTCACCTATGACCAGATACAGAAAAATTACGAAGCTGTGCCGAGTTGTAAGTAATCACTGCTTAATTTATTACACAACAGGTGTATTATTTACCAAGATGCAAAGTCAAATTCTTTAGATTGTTTTGTTTGTGAGTAATATACATACCAAGGGGTCTTTGATAAGAAAAGAACCTGCAATTTATATCAATAAATACTGGAAGGGTGATTGAGTTGTTCATGTAATTGGCTATTTACAAACCATTATCTTTTGTTTCAGATTTATCATAAACATGAAGCGTTAAATTCGACGAGTTTGATATGCCATTAGAGTTCGCATATTCAAGTGTCATTAGGTATTTCGTATACAGTAACACTTTATATTATAATATATACCCGCAGTTTAAATGTCGTATGTTAACTTACCATCTGCCTTAAATATTGCTCTAGATGACAGTGTATATAATTACATGTAACTGTTTCATTGGAATTAATTAAATTTAGTTGTGTACATACAGTTTTGTATTTTCGATAACGTATCATAATTTTATTACCACCCTAAAGCATAGGTAAGCATTACGTTTAGTGTAGTGGTTGAATGAAAGGTTTATGTGTGGAAGGACTGACTGCGAAAGTACATTGTTTTTTAATGCTTTGAGGTTGTACAAATATTTAGTGAGTGATTGTAGTGATTCATGCCATTAATTTAGTATGTGATTTATAATGTGGTGACCCAAGTACTACATCAACAGAATGAACACCTGACCATTGGTGATGATAAATCTGTAATAATTTTATTGTTCGTTTAAGATCATCGTGAATAGTAAAATCTGATAATTTTTCCGTCTGTCATCAGTTGACATCACTGTCACCATTGCATTCGTTTCTCAATTGTGATAAGATTCATTTCTGTTTCGTACATTTTTTGCATATCCTAAAACAGTTGTGGAGCTTCAAAATTCTTGACAATCATTTTTGTGCAATATTGAATGACGGCGGTAAAATTACACTCAGGTTTATGTACAACAAAGAGATCTCCACGAAGTAATCGTTGTGAATGTTTACGACGCAAATTTTAATGTGATTTTTTTAAGTCTTAGCCAGAGTGAAAGCATTTCACCCCCATTAATTTTGCTTTTTGTTGTACCTCTTAACTCCTTATAAACATTTTGTATTTATTTTAGTTATTAGCAAACACTTCTCTGCATAAGCTTTAATGATCAGATCAATCTTGCAACAAAACTGCATCCTCGAACTGCACAATAGTGTCGTTTAATGTAGTGACTGTTACATTTTCGGTGGTGAATATATAAATGTTACAATTAAGTGTAAGATTAGGTTACGGAACTATTCGCGAAATGCTTTAATATTTATAAAGCGTATAGACTGGAAGACCAACTTTAGTTAGGTTAGTGCTGTAATATAAGGAGAAATAATTTTGGGTAAATTTGTTAAATATTTTGTACTTGGTAAAATAAACAGATTACCATCGAGTGTCGATGCAGGAAGCTCATTATCGTCGAGGAAACAACATGGAGATTTAAAATATAAGTTATAGCGGAGTTGTTGAATTATTTTTGTTTTTTTTGTGCGATCTTTGTTTATTAGTATGTAAGAATAAAAACGTGTGATTGAAATATACAAATCTTGACCAGAGGCTTTATTTAATATCGATCAATTGAGTTTGCCATACCGCAATGTTTTAATTTTGAATTTACCCTTAGAAATTGTATCTTGTGTTAAAACTAAATAGTAGTGTAGTACATGCGATGCATATTTATATACACATCTGCTTAGGATTATACTTAGAGTTATGTTATGTTAATTTTACTGTCATTTCAATTGTAAATCATTGTTTTAAATATAAAAATGATCTTAATTAATTACATCTATGGATCTAATGCGTTGCATAACGATTTTATGTACCTGATCAGGTTGAATAGTGAACTACTAAAAAACATGATTTGCGAGGGCGCCACTAAATTCGGTACGGTTAGGGAGATTATGCAATTCAATGATTACGCTTAACATCTAAGTTTTATTGAGAGTTTGAAGGAGAAATGTCAGTGAAATAACTAAGGGCAAGGTCAAGATTTGAGAACAATTTGCGCAATGTAAATTTCCCTATGGCCCGTTTTAAATAACTCCACGCCTTTGCATTGCGTTATGCTAGGTGTGTACTTTCTATGGCCCATCTTTAAAAAAACACCCTGCATAATAAATAAACATATTTAAAAGGTAGACGGTATTTGGGACATTCAATTTGGTATTGTCTATATCGACCGCCCGGCCGATAGTAGGATCATTACAACTTGCTTTTAAAATCGAATTTACCTGAGAATCGATCAAAATTTTACAGTGGAATTGCCTTTCAGTTTTACGGGAGTTTGGATGGTGCCACTAAGCTTTTGACTATTTTTACAAAATCAAAAAGGTGATCCCCAACAACTTACATCACACAGCAACGTTATTTTGGCTTCGCCACCTACAATAATGATATGACCATTCTGGATGTGAATAATTTCAAATCTGATAGGTTTTTTTGATTATAAACAGAGTGCAACCGTTTTGTTTTGAATTTTGGTGGTTTTTTTTTGGAATTTTTACAGATGCCTAATTTGTTTGTTTAAATTTATCGCTTTTGTAATTGATTAATTTAGATAATGTTAACAATTCATCTGGTCAACGCAATAAGAGCTTTTGCTATTGTGTTGCGTAAGGTGAAAGTTAATTAATTTCAAGACAAGTACATGTTTACCGCCGATAAGAAAACGCGAAGACGCGGTTTTTCTGGTGCGAGTGGGTTGTTTGACGTCATTATTTCGAAGCTGGCGCTAGCGTTAATTAAGTTTGGTTTTGATTGGCTGATGTTTACCAAATAATGCAGCTTTTTAAAGTGGTGGAGAGGAGATCCTTTAAATACAAGAACAACGAAAAACGAGCCTTTTTTGGAGATAGTGCGAGAGTGCACATTTTTGTTTGGATGTGGATCCTTGTGGTAACATCCCTATGGACTATGGTTAGGTAACAAAACTGTATGGGAAAGAAATACGACACGCTCTGTGTATACAACAACCATGAAGGCTTCAACTTTAAACGTTCTGCCATTGATTATATAATATAATCAATCAGCTGTTTGCATTTTTTGCCGTGTATGATCAGTGGTGTACCTTCATGAAGAAAAGATATACATAAATGTATTCCGTATCGTTCATTTTATTGTAGAAGTGCACAATGTCTACTTGTGTAAATATGTTTGTACCTATTTACGACCACGGTTGCTGCCTTAATGTGACGCCTGACCTTAACAAGTGTATTTACATGTAGGAATAACCATTTTATTCTTTCTTGTACTAACCATTAATATTTGAATTTAATGTCACAATTTGTTACTATTTATATTATGCACATTTTTACATTTCTCGGCTGCATATGTTGCTCCTTCATCCCGTGTGGACTGCAGTTCTTGTGTCTTAGCATTTACGAGAAGGGGGGTCCTCTAATTTGACGTTTATCTGCCTGTTTCCGTGGAGTAAGTATGTCATACAGATCGATTCAACTCTTATTTAACATGAATACTTACTATTGGCATTCTTACATGTACCTACCTTTCGGGTTAAATTAATTGAAGTCGATGCGGGAGTGGCCCCTTGCTTTTGTACATGCAATTTACCGTTTCACAAAATGGATTGTAGGTACATTTGTTTAATTTGTTTTTCTACTGGATTGATTGATAATGTTTTCCACTTGTATTTATGTTTCGTTCGTGTTGATTTAACTGGATTTGATTTGATTGATCGCGATTTCCACTTGTATTTATGTATTATTAAGTCACAAGATTTATTTATTTTTTTAGTCAGTTCGAGTTATCAAGATCTAGTGTAATAGAGGAAATTTTCAATTTGTCAGCGAGGTTTTGTTTCTTATTTGTGTCAGAAAATCGCATTTAACGACCAGTTTTTTTATTTAAAATTTAAAAACTAACTAATTAAGACTTCCTTAAGTAATTCATTTTCTATGGATCGCGTGCATGCGTGGTATGTGTAAATCTGGCTCTGAAAGCTTATTTTGTTCAGCTTATGCGTTTAATTTTTTTGTCTTACTAAATAAATTTTTGTCTTTGTCAATCAAGTTACTGTGTGTTTAGTCGAACCCAAAGTGCGACCCAGATTAGAATTTTCACGATAATTTTTTTTTTGGTACCTGAATTATGTTCGGTGTTGTAGTGTACCTACTTAACTCCCAGGTTCTACGCTAACTTTACATTTACAAGAACACGGACATAAAATCAACCCCAATGGCCATTCCCACCAATAGCTAACCAGAATCGCACGCTTTGTATTTTGAATGCAAACTAGTTTTTTAGAATCATGACATCGGTCTGGCCTCAAATTCAATTGAAAATAAATCAGCGTGTGCTATTCCTATCATAAATTGATTGTACAATAGTTATTTGTACAACTAGTTTTGAAAGTGATACTTTTTTTCATGAATTTGCAGTTTAATCAAGCCAATTCATGGAAAAAAGACACTTTCAACACGTGTTGTACACGAAAATTTTTTGCATAGTGATCCATAATAACCCACAATTGAATAATTTGATTGACATTCGCGATTTACTGTCACTCAAAAGTGGATGCTATTGTTCATAGACAGGACTAAACTCCATGGAAACGCATAGTAAAAATCGTGAAACCACTTTCCATACGATTTTTCGTTTAAAAAAGTCCGATAATTTCATCACTATGTAAAAAATACTTTATTCGCCTAGATACTAAAGTATCTACACCATTACATTTAAATTTACATTTAAAATGGCCTTAACAACGGCAGGTTTTTACAAATTCACATTTAATTTGCAAGTTGGCGAAATAAGTAAGTACATAATTGCATAAAAAGTGCCATTCTTGATTTGCAGTATACAACGCAAATTTTAATCAAGAAAAATGTGTTCCCATATTATTTTTGTTTCTCTGGGAATATGTTGAGCAGTGTATGTATTTCCAAGTTTATTTATTGCTAAAAGGTATAATTAAAAAATAATTTGAAATTTATTCCTGTGTAGAAATGGTTTATAAGCTGCGCATTAAAACTTAAGTCACTTGTAAGTTGAAGATGAAGCTACTATTAATGTGCGTTTTCTTCATTGCGGTGCACGCAAAAAAAGTAAGCATATAGTTAGCTGATTACAACTACTTTAGAATATTTTCTTAGTTAACACCCGAAGTTATTAAGACATGGGAGAGTATAGTGTCGCCTCATTTTGACTATTGTGTGAAAATAACAAATGTCGACCCAGAAATACCAAGAACTATGTTTGAGCAGGAAGATTTGCCAAATGCGGAGTCCTTTGTTTGTTACATGAAGTGCATTTTTGAGAAATTGTCATTTTTAAAACCGAATAACGAACTAGATCAAGATCAGATGTTAACTACAATCTACATGCTAAATCCAAGTGAAGCAAGCAGGTGTCTTGCTGAATCTGCAACAGAAACAGATATATGCAAGAAAATACACGATATTAGCGCATGTATTGTACATCGCGTCGAAAATGATTAGTAGCACTAAGCATGGTGTCATTGTAAATATTTCTTAGTATATTTAGAATTGTTATTTAGTTATGCAAGCTGAAAAAAACAGTATCTTACTTTGATCCGTCTTGCTCTTCATCCTTCACCCCATACTAGGCATACCTTTTATCTCTTTTATCATTGTTGCTGCTTGGATTGGAAAACAAATAGGTAACATTTCGTAATTCTTTATTAAAAATTTGCATTATTAATTCTTAACCATATTGATCACAAAATCATGAGACACATTTCTAAAAGTGAAAAGGACATAATATCAAAACCTTTTTGAAGAAATTGGAATGTACGTGCATGTGCTCAATTTCAGAATAAACAAGTTCTGTGAAAATTAATATAAAATTAACGGTAATTCTAAAATTCTTTGGTAATAAAATGAGGTATGTATACAATCGCAGTGCCATTTATTAATTTATATTTAAGAAACTATGCTTTCTATCCAAAGCCTGAATATATCTACTGTTTCGTATGTTTATATTCTTTAGTATAATAGAATAAATGATAGTATAGCTACAGCATGGGTAAAACTACATTATGGCAGAAGGCCTCTTTAATTTGAAAAATGTCCCATCGTTCTGTAGCTACACGACTATCTGAAAAAGCCTTCATAAAAAACTCTAAATTTGATCATGACTAGCAATAGCACTTTTTGTCACCAAAAAAATAAACGTAATTAATTCAAGGCATATAATTGTGCCATAAAACTATTACAGCTCAAAATTTATGATATAATCTTTAAGCGAATTCGGTAAATTCAGTTTATTTAGATAAAGGCCCGGCTTTTGGCTTAAGCAGTTATGAATCTTCACTCTACATATTTGCTTCAAACTTCGAGGCCTTTTGTATAAATCTCTGATAATACAAGTTAACGGCTCTGTTCTTCTGTCAGGTACCAAACTTAACTGTTGTGTATGTAACATTTTTAAACATTCAAATAGAGGTTTATGTTTCATTACTAAATAGAACAACATAATTATCTTGGCAAACGACATTTTCGGATCCGTAATAACGTTTTCTTTTCTAGAGACTAACATGATATAGTAATATAAAATATAATTTTTACTTTTCCACAAGGATTGTGAGCGCTGCAACGGATAACTCTTTATTGCTTCCGATATATTTAAACTAAGATCTGGATTAGCTCCGTACTGGATTAAGGTAAGCGTAAGATCGTACACATAATCAATGTCTCTGCAATCGCGCACGTTTTGTATCATGTCCATGCAGGACTGCAAAATATGCTGAGTTCGATTGCTCGCGCGTACGTTCGGATCTAATCCGTACGAAAGTAATAATATTAACAAATTTTTTATAAATTCAAAATTGAGTTGTTTTTGCACATCACAGTTTAATGTTATATTTTCCGATACTGTAAAGACTAATATATGCAGTGGAGTCAAGTTCTCACGATAACTACAGTTTGGACTGGCTCCGTACTTTAAAAGTATTCGAATGCAGTTCAGGTAGCATACCTAAAATCAAAACACATTAACTAACGTTGCACAATTACACCTTTTGAAAATGTTATCTTATTTCTATTATGCCCAAATGTTTCGATTGTTGAGAGCTAAATAACCAAAGGTTCCAAAATGCTTCTTTCTTTTGTGAACTTATACAAATTTTCAAAATATCTACCGCATTGTTTTTTTTTTATTTCATGATTTATTGTTGTCTTTCATGTTCAAAGATATTTTGATACAAAACTTTCTTTCATTGCGCCGTCTTTAAATAGGAATGCGAAAATAAAAATTTTGGTACTGTTATTGCGTAGCGTCCAAATTAAGAAAAAAAATAGTTTGGTTCATTCAATTCTTGTAACTACTACAACACTCTGTATAATGTATGGCATCCTATTAAACTTTAATTTACTTATACAGTAGAACCCCGATTATCCGTGCTCAATGGGACCGGATGGCGCACGGATAATTGAAAAGCACGGATAATCCAAAGAATTTATTGTTTCTTAGAGTAGGCATACGTATGTATACTAAAAATATAAGAAAAAAATCAAACTAAGGTATGCACAATAAATTCTACAAAAAAGTTCATAACACAATGAAAAAAAACAGAATTCTAGATAAGGTCTGACACAAGTACAGTTGCAACTTACATGTAGCACGCAGTCAAATGCGCTAATGCTAAATGGCTAAATTTCGCTTAACCTGCATCGGCTGATGAAAGATAATTCTCTGAGCATGCGCGCACTCGGTATTACAGCCTGCGTTTCCCTCATGGACTAGCGAAAATTCTCGTCAAGTGATTGACGGCAATGGTATTTCAATTAAAACTTTAAAAATGTAATTTCAAAAACGCGCAAGCATGGCACGGATAATCCGCATCCCGGATAATTCGCGCACGGATAATCGGGGTTCTACTGTACTTTTATGAATATTCAATAGTTTCAGCTTGCAACTTACCTTCATGCTATGTGTAAAATGGTGCAAAGGATCCTTATTAATAAGCGGTACAAGACACACCATAATCGGAACAGAGCCATCACGTCCAACCATATTTGGTTCACCTTAAAAAAGTAAAATTAATTTGTAATGTGCATGATTTTTTGGTGATCGATTAGTCAATTGCATAATTATCAATTGTTACGTGATAATCAATTTTTTATTTATGGATGAGTTGATTAATGGCTACTAAGTGTACTCTTTAAAACGATTATTTCATGATCTCAGCACATATCAATACAAATATTGTACATAGTAACAAATGTCTATTATGAATTTGGTATTATTCTTAATGTCTTGTTAAAAAAACATAAGGGCATAATTATTACATGGCCTTGGCCATTGTCAGACATAATAGTGGTGCAGTTCACAAGACACATATGCTAACGTCACTGCAGACTATTTTGCATCTTTTTTAGTAAGCATTCTTATAAAAAAAGAATAAAATCTAGAATAAGATTGTGTTATTACACTATGTAGATTGTTACCTAATCCCCAAAGTGCTTTAAAAGTGACTGTTTAGCAAGATCAATGGATCTAAAAGGTCATAGCCTTTCAGGAGCGCCTCCTGTCCTTGGAGTCATTACAGAAGCATTTTAGTTTAGGAATCATGTTATTCAAAGCGTGACTCTATTCCACTTGGCATTATCACAGCTTTCTAGTGACTACCATGCTCCTCTCATTGCCATACCGTTCTTTTAGACGTCACCATGATTTTCATAATGCCACTCCTCTTTTTTTTGCCTCTGCCACGATTAGCGTTATTAGAGCCTTGTGGCTTATCTTATTTTCTTGACACTACCAGAAACTTCCACGCGTCACCATATTTTTTTACAGCATTCTATGTCATGAGAAAAAGCCTACCAGAGCTGTTCCAATACAATCAGGCACTTTAGGTGCGTTCTACACTGTTCTTCCTGGAGCACCCCTGTATAGGTCCACAATATTCTCTTTCCAGCTTTGAACACAGTTCCTTTCGTTGAGACCTTTAATGAGAATACCAAGACAAAATTAATTTCTACCCCCCTCCCTCCCTCCGGCCTCATACCGATCTCGGAAAGGACTCGCGCAGGCAAGTTATACTTGGCACAGACCAATTCATTTCGGTGAGACCTTTTATTAGAATAGCAATGAAGGGTAGAACGTGCGTTCATCCCCCGCCCCCCCTCCATTTTCAAAACTTTTACTTGGCACCACTAAAAGGCATATGTATGCAAATTCTGAGACCAGTTGATTGTCGCATGCAAAAGATATGCACGTTTTACATTCAAAATCAGCATCTCAAGATTTTGTTTTTATTTTTTTTATTTTACAAATTTGAAAAGATACAAAAAAAAAGAACTTTTTCGTTCCCACTATTTGAGCTCTACAAGACAGCCTTGGGGAATTTTCAATAGATTTAGTTTTGGGGAAATCGTCACCTTTATTTTTTTATACGAAGTGGCTATATGTCCGCCGACAGTACTATAATTTAAACTACCTATACCTATCTCTTACAGTTTCAGAGATCCACATGGTGGCCCTCGAATTTGAATCAGCCTGTATATTCCCACTTGCTATGTGCGGCTAATGAGCCATCGAAGGTAGAATAAGTATTGTATATGCGCACTCGTTGAAACATTCATTCAAATAGAAGATGTCGTCAACAATGAACATGACTGTTAAAAAGCATCATGTCATTTCATCAAATTTAATTTCCCTTATCATCGACTGTAACACAAAATATCGTCGTTCTTCTCGCTGCAAATCAGCGCCTTCGTCGTCTAATCAACGTACAATCTACGCTATTGCTACCGCAAAAGGTAACCCCATTTGCATCACTTATCGCCATCGCCTAAGAAGACCTACTTGGAAACAAGAAAAAGTACTAGGTGGGCCAAAAGAAATCACCCTATTGGAAGATGCTCTTATTTTTGCAAATGGCGGCCAATGTCAAATCTGTTTGGACATTTGTGAACTAGACAGGTTTAGAATACAAGTGAACAAGCCATGGAGCGATACACTCTCCAAGAACGCGGAATAATCGTATCTATTTTTTTGCGTTGTGGTGTTGGCGCAGCACGAATTCCGTCGCCGATTCCCCGGTCGTCCGGCACCGACTGCGCAAACACTGCGCCGTTTGGCCGCCAACCTTGAAGAGCATGGGACCACATGAGACGCTGCCAAAAGTGGCCGGCCCCGGAGCGAGAAACATAATCATAACACAGAATCGAAGTTTTTCATTTAGAAAAAAAATGAGAGCCAAACAACATCGGATGACTTCTTTTGGCCCACCTAGTATGTCCTTTTCGCTCATATTCTTTTCGGAACTGTTCATATTTATAGTAATAGTGCACTCCGAAACAAGATGTAGAATTAATTTACTTTATTTGTATTTTTAATCAATAAACATGTTAATCATTAGTGTTGATATTATTTCAACATCCCTCTCATACAAAAGCCAAGCATTCTGTATACAGTCCACACAAAAAATACAGAGGTTTCGCTTTACCCACAACCATACGAGTAGTGCTATGTATTTTGATCCAGTTTCAGGGAGTTGATTGAAAAAAAAATTTTACCTGTACTATTCGTATAAAAATTTTTATTATTGTTGAAAAGCATGTTTTGGTATTTAGAACTTAATTTTGTTTAGAAGTAGGCAAGAGAATAGATGCCTTTCAAAAAAAATTGTATTGAAATAAAAAACGACAAACAAAAACTATAAAAATTGAAAGACATAGTTGGTATGCGTTAGTTATTTTTTTTATTACACCAAGTTAAAAAATGGAAATATTTCCATGGGTTGGTCATACTGCATAAATACATACCTCCTTCCGCCAAAAGCATGTGCAGCAATTCATAACAGATATCCCAGTCTCGCACATGTCGCAAAACGCATGCCAAAGCAGAATTTCCCATTTGATTGATCGACTGTCTAGCGCCAGACTGTATCATATACCGCACCAAATGCAATATGTCCCACTTATTCCACTTATCATAGCCATATCGAGCCTCCTCCAACGCGTAGCGAACAATCAGTGCATGTAAAGGCGTGTTTCCTAGAGAATCTGGCGTATTAATTAGTTGTTTGCAGCCGTGTTCCAGCAGTAAGCGAATTGTAGATATTGTATCTTCGGCAGACTTATGCGCAACAAGAAAAACTGCAAACAAATTGTTATAACAGAAAAATTGACTACTGTCAATGCAACAAGTATGACAAACATGGGACTTAATAAAATAATAACCATTCATCGAACAGAATTGATATTGTAACATATATTTAATCACTTGATTTACGTACAATTAATTATTAATGAATTTATAACGGTTCTTTAATACATTAATTTATAACAGTTAACTTATCACTAACATGTAAATTTATAACACGAGCGCGAATTTCACTATTTATCACTTTGCATTGATGTTGAAGCTGAAGATGTTAGCCACAATTCAATTTTCTTATATGGCCCACAACAAAAAAGAATTCTCGAATCAGCATATCATATTTCAGTGAAAGAATGCGTCACATCGGCTTTCATCCCTTATCGCCGGTGACTAATCCTTTCGATCTGATGGCGCCTTGCTGAAGACGAACGGTAAGAAGTGGCCATTTCATTGGGTTGGGTTTGCCACCGATTCGCGACTTGTTCCTTGGATGCGATTGTTTTAGCTACAGTCAAAAGTATGAGAGAATATGGTACATCAATTCAACCGTGACCAGCATTCATTTGATGCCAAGTCCAGTCAGTCGAACGGTTATTTTTTTACTAACCCTCTAAGTCAAGTGTACATACTTTTTGTGATGACAGTAATTTGCCAACTTACCAACATGCAACAAAGTCATCTGCTGTGTACATGTACGGACGGCAGTATCCGCTCCAGCATTTATAAGTAACTCTAAGAAACGACTATCGTGCAAGACCGCATAATGGATGGGATAATACTCGTCTTTCAGTATATGAATCTCGTCCGCTCGAAGTGTGACTAGAAACTGAGTGCAACGCCAAGCGCCTCGTTCACACGCAGCATGTAAGAGAGGCTTGCGATTGCGAAACAGTCCGTTCTACAAAGCAATCAACAACAAACTAGAATTAGATGAATAATCAGGCTTAATACCCACGGATCACCACTCCGAAGCGATAACATCTCCAAAATTTCCACTTGATCTCCGTCTAGAGCGTAATATATGGCAGACTGAAGTTTTGGGGGACGATCACGATCGCGATCCATACAGTTGTCATCAGCATTAATATTAGCTGCGTTGATACTTTGGGTGAGAAACTTACAACAATTTCATCTAATTGTACTTACAATACTTTCCTCGATGTTCACAGTTATTGCTATGGGGTCCGGGCCAACACATTCTTGCCTCCACATCGATTTTGGCACCATGCTTTAACAGCAATTCCACGCACTCGCTGTACCTAAAAAGCACCAATATTAGCGCAAAAGCACGTAATTTAAGTGGCAATTAATTTATGAGTGTGCCAGAAAAGGTAGTTGCATCACCATGGAAAAGAACTAATTTTGACTTTATTGAGAATGTCAGAATAACCCCTAGAATAGCACAGGTCCTTAAAAAAATTGCTAAATATGTAATACGCAAGAGCATAAAAATTTTATTTACCGACAGCAATCCACCTGGAAAGAAAAATAAAAGCGTATTATTATTATTATTATATTAAATTCGCTTATTTGGCATAGAACGAAATGCAACTGTTGAATACCAGTTCCATGGTATACCAGTTCCTAAATTCCTCTTAATGATGATTGTAAAAGTTTATTTGCGGAACTAGAACCGGGACGCCGTCATGGATTTTGTGACGTCACAAGTCCCGCCCATTGTCTTATCTTGTTTGGTTCTTATCTTGGCTAAAGTACAATGGGTTCTTATCGTAACTTCGTGTCGTTTGAATTTTGGCTAGAGTAAGAGGGGTTTTAGGCAACATCTTGTGTGGGTGGTACCTAGGGTAAGGCGGATCAATGTGGATTTTTCTTGTTCCTTTCACAGCTGCTGTACTTTATTGTCATAGCGAGATGTTGGCAAGTTTCGGAAACGTGGTCTATGATGCTTTCAGGATTTGATTATTTCTGAAAATGTTGAATAATTTGGAAATTTCACCCGGCTATTTCAGTGAGCATAAATACCGGTAGCTAATCAGAGTTGTTGCAGAAAACCTCGTCTGATTAGATTGTGTTTAGTATCATCAGAAGTGCGCTAATTAATCATAAATTTTAAGACTAGTCCCAGCTTTCTCGCCAGATTTTTACGGTGATCGGAAGCCGAGAATTAACTAAAGAAGTTTTCATTTTTGAGCACATTGATACTAGTTAGTTTGGCTATATGAATTTTCCAGTCTTCCCTTGTTGCAAACTACCAAAAAAAATTTCACCTTTGAGCAATTGATGTAGGTGCATTTGAAAAAATATAGTTAGTGCACCTAGAGAATGATTCCTGGTGGTTTGTAGCAGACCACTTTAAGGGTGATCCAAGTGCAGACAGATTTTCATTTTATACATTTGAGTTTTTCTTAAAAGTGAACATGCAGTACAACTGTGCCCATGTTCAGTTAAAAAAACAAAAGAAAGTACATTACAGTCGCCAATTAAGTTGACATGTACTTTTTCAATTGCAACAGGGATTTTTGCGCTGTACGTTCACTTTTGATAAATCTCACTATATGTTACAGCATTAACTCGATCATCAACTACCTTCTCTAGTAGCCTTAGGTACTTAACTTTAAAATTAGCTGTTGGCTACTCACCCCTTCAAACATGCAATGTGTAAAGGTAAACTACACGGACATCGACTAATATCTGCCGATGAATGTCGCGCTAACAGCCATCGTACCAATTCTACATTATTGGCCCCTACACATCTCTGAAGTAAATTGTATCCAGATTCGTCGTGTATCATTAGGATATTTTCATTTTTAGGTATTTGCTGCAACAGACCCTCAAGCCGTTGCACACCAATCTTGGCATTAGCGCGTAAAGCATCGAATACTGTCTGAACCTTTTGTCTTGTGGAGTCCGTGACACGGTGTCCGTGCGCGTTTGATAAAAGAGCACTGCCCGATTGAAATACTTGACTAACTGAACTTCCCATTATCACCAAATTTAAGCGTTTTCGTTAGAGAAATTCTAAATATACAACAAAATCAGTTATTACTTAAATTGTTTTAAATTAAATTTGAGATCATCTGTTTACTGTAATAATTATACGTTAACGTAAATACTCACTGAGCTTATAATTTTGACCTAATATTTCTCATTCTTCTATTTAAATATTATTAAATTTAAATTAAGGAAGGACAGATTGAAATGTTAGAATATTGAAGTCCTTTTGAAATGCGAAACTTGTGCACGTAATCGATTTGACGTCTTTAAATTATCTTTAATATGAAACATTGTTTATAAATAGGTTAATGTGTTAGATTATTAAACAATATGTTTTATTACTACGCACTAAAACTTGACAATTCTAAAATTTGACAAGATTTATATTTGCATTTATCAAAAATCAATAAAAAAAGCGGCGACCTCTACACTTGCAGCACTGAAGCTACAAATCTGCGTTAAATTGTGCGTACGCGTTTTTGTAGCACTAGGCAACACACAATACTCCTTAGAGCTTTCATAGTCTAAGCCTTTGAGTAGTATATAATCAAAGATTCGTTGTATACTCTTTGATATAATCAAAGGTCTAAGCCTAAGCATTGATTATATACTTACGAATATATAATAATAATAATAAATGGCTTTAATAAGTACCTACGTTAAATTACATAGAAATGTGTACAAAGGGCGAGATTCAGTAATGGAATGAAACATATACATACCAATCAATGGCCTAAGCTAAGCAATACCATTGACTAATACTCCTTAGTCAATGGGGGAGTATATTAGTCAATGGCAATACACACAGTGGCATAGTTGACATTTTCACTTTCCATATTAAGGTCTAGTCATACACATCAAATAGTATTATCTTTGATATCAAACATGGTTGTGCTGTGATTGTAAAGTTGTAGTGGTTTTCCCTGAAAATTTACCGAATGGCTAATTTTATAGACAACTAATTAGCTATGGTTGCTGTAGCTCTTGATAATGTGAGGAAGAGTCGACTCGAACTCGAAAGATGAAGTGGGTGCATAATACCTACTTCAATTCAATCACATATGTCAGTTTGACACCATTGCAGCGAGGAACAAGGATAGCGCTATTGAAAATGACATAAATTAGTAAGAGAGGCATTTAGTCCACAAGACTGAAATAAAATTCAATGACTATACTGCATCTAGAGGTGCAAACGCAGTCTAGTCATTGAATTTTATTTCATTCATTTCCGTTAAGAAAATTTAAATGCTCGGGCTAGATTTCAAAAAATAAAAAATCTAATTACTATAGACCTTTATCCTGCATTTTCTCGATCTTTTGGGATATTACTTTTAACATACATTGTAAATGTTTATGTTGGTGTATGGGTAGAAAGTTATGAGTTTCGTTCAACGCCAAAAGATAACGGTGCCACTTCAAGTGACGATTATGCCATAGTCGGCTGTGATTGGTAGGTGAAGGAAAACTAGCGGATACTGTCGATACGGTACTTTACTTGATAGTGCTCAATTGTTAATAAAGCCCGCTTGACATGGAGCAATAAAAATTGCAATTGCATGCAAGTTGCAAGAAAAATTGCGAAAGGCATGCGCAGTTCAAAGCCAGCTGATCAATTGCTGCAAGAGACTTGCATGCAATTTTTATAGGACCGGTGCTATTTTTCTTGCATGAATCGTGCAATTCTAGGGATAAATCTAGTTGTTTTTGTGTCACCAACCTAGTAAAATACAGCGGCGGCAACTATGATGCTGAGAGACGCACTCATTACTTGTTTTTATTAATCTTATTTATTCTTGTAATTTTCACGTTTCTTCAAGCAATCAAAATTTAATTTTCATTTGAGGTTAACTACTTTGTTGACAAATCCATATGTTTCTTCTGTTGGCAGACATGTGGCAATTGAAATAGAGTTGCACCATGTCAAATACCATGCAATGCTTATTGCATGCAAGGATTTGACCTTGCAATTTCTTTCTGCAAGTTCTTGCGCGTTGTATTGCTCCATGTCAAGCGGCCTTAATTCTCAGTCGTTAACTTTTCTGTTCTAATCAGTTTGATTTTCTCCCTTGAAATTGTTTTTTTTTCTCAAACCTTTTCTCAAGCATCGTAGATCTATATGTAGGTATACATTCACATAATCCCTTTACTGCTTGATTAATAGGTATCTATATTCGAATTAAAAAACTTACCTACCCTAATAATTTTTTTTTGTGTAGGTATTTATTAGAGACCAATTCTCAATAATACCTGTGATAATACTGTGGTGTCATGATCTCATTAAAAACCTAACTCCATATCAATATTACCACATATCTCATGTAAATCTTGTTCCATATACCAACTGAGTGCTTTCTTAAGTACCTATATACAAACACACAGTCGTAAACAAATAAACCAATCTCTCATATACCTTGGAAAAAAGCTATGTACACCTAGAAATAAGTAGGTAGGCAAAGTTCTCATTTAGTCCATCTTTCAGTAGAAGCGTTGAGTAAAAACTTCGTTAATCGTTTATTGATTAGTTGAACGAACATTGATAAAGTACGACGTTGGTTAGTTGTTGCTATTCCTGACCTTTACTGTGACCGCGATAAGAATAATATACGATTAAAAGGACGATGAGACTAAATATAATGCGATTGTAGATGATACATTAAAGATGATCTGGTGGTTTTTCTTATTTATTTTGGGATTTGTTTTTCTCCACCGAAAATGGCGCTACAGATACCTAATGGCCATACCAGGACCGCCATCGTTGCCTTTAATAGGAAACACGCTACCTATGCTTGCCAGTCCAGGTATTTTTAATATTTTCAGTAATTAATTTATAATTTTGTAACAGTATAACATCTTCTAATTCAAGAACGCGCATGGTGCTTGCTACAAGAATACAACAAAGTTTACTACCCCATATACAGATTATCTAATGGTTTGCTTGATTCGGTGCACATCAGTGCACCTGATGATATTGAGGTTCGAAAATGTTTATACTGTTTCACACCGTTAACGTGACGTTCTTATAGTTAATTTTATCGAGCAAAACGCATTTAAGAAAGTCAATAATTTATGACCTGTTGCAGTCATGGCTCGGCAAAGGGTTGCTCACCAGTGACGGTATGCACGTAAATGCAAATGACTTACCTATACTTAAATGAAGTTTTAGGGGATAGATGGTATCACAGGAGAAAGTTGTTAACACCAACATTTCACTTTAATATAATTCAGCAATTTTTTACAGTATTTGCCACTCATAGCGAAGCACTTGTTCAACAACTTGATAAGGAGTGCGACAAATCATGCACAAACATAATACCACTCATTACGAAATTTACCCTTTTTACTATATGCGGTAAGTTATATTATTCATAGCGCATTTAGTACTAACTAGTTTGTACCCAATGTAAAAATAGAAACTGCAATGGGAACAAAACTGGACGAAAAAAAAGAAGGCAACAGGGACTACGTCTCGGCCACTTTTGAGTATGTTAATTATAAGTAAAATACAAAGCATAATTTGCTTATGCGTTTAGGATGGGACAACTGTTCATTAACCGTATAAGACGACCATGGCTAGCATACAATGTCATTTTCAATATGACTGAAAAAAAGAAGGAGCAAACCTCTTTATTAAACATCTTGCACAGTTTTTCTAAATCGGTAATAGAGGATCGAAAGCAGCATTTTAAAGAAGTTGTTCAGAATGAAGATGAACATGATGATCAATTTCATCAAAAAAAGCGAGTCGCTATGTTAGATCTGCTGTTATCCGTACGTAACAGTGGTGCTCAAATTTCAGATGAAGAGATTAGGGAGGAAGTGGACACATTCATATTCGAGGTGCAGATTATTACAAATCAAAGGTTCAGTATGTTAGACCAATTTTTGTTTTAGGGGCATGATACTACTTCGGCTGCAATTTCATATGCATTGATGTTGATAGCGAATCACTCAAATGTTCAAGTGAGCGTGATTCTCTACATTAGGTCATTGAATAAAAATTTTTTATTCAATGATTAGGTACATAGTATAATATATTAATCGACAGGAAAAAATTGTAGAAGAAATCAATCATATCGTGGATGGTTCAAGTCGCCCATTGAATTTCGCAGACATTCAACAGCTTTCTTATTTGGAACGAGTTGTAAAAGAATCATTACGAATGTATCCCAGCGTACCTGTGATTGGTAGGAGGGTGGATTTTGACGTAGTTACCTCTACCTCGCACGTAATTCCAAAAGATACCATTGTATCCGTCCATATATTCGGTTTACACCATAACCCTAAATTCTATCCGGATCCAGAAAAATTTGATCCGGACAGATTTCTTCCTCAAAATATGAAAGGACGTCACCCATTTTCGTATATACCATTCAGCGCGGGACCGCGAAACTGTATCGGTATATAAAATTCAAATATTATGTTTTTTGTTTAGGTTATTTTATTACTTTATTTAGGTCAAAGGTTTGCGATGGTAGAAATGAAAACAGCGATAGCGTCAGTTGTACGAAATTTTCGTTTGTTGCCAATTGACAAGCCATCCGATTTACAGTTCATGGCTCATCTTATATTGAAAGCAAATAAGGGGGTACATATAAAGTTTGAAAAGCGTCAGTGATCGAAATACAAGCAAACATTAATAATTTTAGGTACCTATAGCACTTAGGTACCAATGTAATTTTATTAATTCCGTTTTTTAAGAATAAAACAATTTCTAGGTACTTAGCTGTTGTAGTTTTCAAGTATTAATTTATGATTTAGGAAGATGACAACTATTAACTCTGCATCAGAACGACAAGGACCCCCTTTATTATAGAATCTCATTAGGTAGGTACCTATACACTGCGTTCATGCTTTAAGTATAATGTGGTTGTGATATTCAACTTTAAAGCTGCCCTAAATTTTTTGAAAAGGTACTGATATACCACGCGGCCCTCTCGTATTGTTTATATAGATGTTGGTTTGCCATTTTTTATTCCATATGCTGTAAAGGATCATAACTGATACTTGGCTAAAGTAGACAGACGGTTGCTTTCAAGTTGGGGCTGTAATGTAACTGGAATTCACAGTGATGACCGAAAGCTTTAATTCGAGAAGAAACATATTAGGTACAATCATTTTTTATTTTAGAATTTATGAAACTCAACATCGTTTGGAAATCTATATGTAATCACACTTCTTTTTTCTTAGAAAAATATGCCATGTTAGACTGTAATGTATCAAAATCCGCTCTTTGGCAGTTTCTGGAGCAATATCTGGGTGTCAATGCTAAATCTCTTAGGGGAATCAAATTCCCTTGTTTGGTAATGTTTTAGGTACCTACCAAATATTAAATTTTGGGTTATTTGATTACACTTTTTAACAATGTTTTAAGTTTCGGGTTTCGTTGTACCTATGCTGTAATCTGCAGAAATCAAATTTGATTTTTGGTAATTTTCGAAAGAGGTAAAGTAATTACGGCATAGCCTTCACCATTTGCCAGAAAAAGGATTGGATATAAATAAAGGCAGGTTATCCTCTCCATGGCGAACGAAGTCAAGTACTTTGCTTTAAGTTTGCTATTTTCGTAATATGTTTTGAAGTGTATTTTATTTAAACCCAACAAAAAATTCGTTTTAAAAAGCACATGGTTCACATCTAGCATAGCCGCATATACCGGGTGATCAAAAAGTAGTGCGGACAGATTGAATTTCCCGTAAAACTAAACATTTATAAAGTTGGTAACATACCAAATGTCATTTATGTAATAGCAATGGTGGATCAACTTAATCACTAATACATAAATAAACTACCTTCTAAACATGTTTGCCAATTCCTTAAGTAAAAAACATTAAAAACTTAAAGCGCCCAATTTAAACTGTCTGCAGTTCTTTTTGATCACCCGACATACTTTTTAGTTGATACCTGATCGCAACAGCTTTGATGTCGAAACGCGAAGTTTTTATTGTGATTTATTGGAGTTTTGACCACTAAAGCAATACCAGGTTATTAATCGAGCTATGCTCTGCTAACATAAGTACTGCCTATGCATGTTATCTGTAGGTACAGAACATCTATAATACTATACAGCTGCACAACGAAAAATAAAGAAAGTAAAATCTATAAACAAAATGCAAACAGTATGTAGTTGGAGGAATGTAGAAACAAGCATCTCCAAGCCCTCTAAATAAAACTATACAGGAAATATGTGGATCTATTGTAAATATTTAAGTATATTGTATATATAGTCACAAACTTTAACAGTATAATAATAAGTACTCTGCATATACAAGAAAATACTGTGCACTACCTTTAAATATGTATAAATATGAATATAAAAATTTTACTTACATGAATATATAAAAGACACATTGACTAAAGCCGTGGCATTAGATTACATGAGGTAGCCAACTTTAATACTAAGGCAATACGGTTTCAAAATCTGAATATCAAATATCATCATATAAAAGTACATTTACACTGAGTTATTAGCTAACAGGAGCTTTAAGCAAACTTGGAATGCAATCTTAAGTTCGATAGTACTCAGCGTTGTCGTCACCAACATACATGAGTATTTAAAACAAATGCAAAGTTAAGTACTTATAAACTATCTCAATGCAAATGTACTTAGTAATTAACACAGCTGTTAACATTGCGATTTGTACAGACAAATAGAATAGGTACGTACATAAGACGTAACAAACTTATTATGAATCAGCCGATGTGTTAATCAACCATTCATTATCAACCAAACTATTACTAGTTATATTTACACAGCTGCCATTGACACACAAAAGTATCGTACAGTGTATTCAAAATAAAGCCTCTATTTTCAAGCACTGTGATAGAGTTTCCAAATATACAAATAAGCAACCCACAAGCAATGACGTATACCCTACTAATTATTCGCGATTAAATTAACACTAAAGACATAGAATTTATCCTTCCGTTTTTGAGACTTGAAAATATAGCCCCTTAATCCTATCCTACCTGAAAGGCATTTTTCTTAAGAACTCGGGGCTGTCTTGAATTAAGCTTGAACACGTAATTACAATTACAAATAAAGCTTTGGTCCCACGACGGAATGATAATCGAAATGCGACTCTCATGCGATGAGAAGTACTTAGTTACAAGCGGCGGAGATAATAATGTGCGAATATGGTTTTGGCCTCAATTAAGGGAACACTTCCAGGTCAGCTATACGGCTCCAGTGAGGGGAATCGCATGGCACCCTTGGAATTATTCGCTACTAGCAATAGGCGGAGGTGTCGGACAAGGCTGTGTGACCATTTGGAACGCGTCCAGCATGCAACAGAAAGGCAGAAAATCTCCAAAAGAAAACAACGCCTTCGCGGTCGATAGTTTGGCGTGGAACCCCCTAACGGGAGAACTAGTGGTGAGTTATTGGCACCGAAGGACAAATAACGATGGCGTGCCTAGGAGCTCGATTATTGTTCTATCAAACTTGACTACTGAGGTGGATGAAATCGAATGGCACGTCGGGCGAGTGCTGTACCTTCTATGGGGAAACGGAGGAGCGACCTTAGCAACGGCTGCGACCGATGAAAATCTATGCATGTGTGCAAATAACGTTTTAATAATGTGTGACAACTGGCCTTATTCATATTATTTTAGTTTCTTTTAACGGTCTTCATTGTTATTTTAAAATAAATAAAAAACAATGAATATATCGATTAAATTATAAACAAAAAAGAGAGGTTATGTTACCCTGTCAAGCAATTTCAAATTATTGACCAATCATAAGCATTTCGGATGATCGTATCGTCGGGTTTCGTATTCATGTGAATCCAGCTTAAAGGTATACGCAAACCTACGCGGTCGCGGTCGCGGTAGCGGACGCGGTGGCGGTAGCGGTGGCGAACGTGAGGCCGCACACTAGGGCGTCCAATCCGCGAGATCACATGTTTTTTTACGCACACTACCAATTGATTGAAATATGGCATTTGAAGTACGGGATAGATTTGTTTCTTTTTTTAATGCCTAACAATGTACTAAAACTATAAACAAATACACTTATCTTCACCAGGTTTGTCCAGTATCATGGCCAATTCATCCCATACCTTATCTTTCTTTTTTATATTTTTATACTCCTTACATGTAACGTCGTATAAAATTGGATTTCCTCTCACTAACTCAATTATAGTTGTTCTGTCATTTTCTTTCGAGACATACGGCGCAAACTGGCGGGCCAACTGTGAGTGCAGCTGTCGCCCGCCACCGCTCTAGATCGCCGCGTTTGTTCGCTGCACTGATCTCCACCGCCACGCTTGAACGCTTCAGTATGCGTTGCCTGTATAAAGTGTGTGCATTCTATTGCCCGCCACCGCCACCGCGTCCGCTACCGCCACCGCGACCGCGTAGGTTTGCGTAAACCTTAAAGATCACAATTTTATCATTCAATTTCTAGAAGCCCACTTGTACAACTTTACAACTCGCCGACATTTTCTTACGTTGATTATGCTTTAAAATACCCTTATTATTCGTGGCAAAATTACAAATTAAATGTTTGAGAAGGTTGTGTGTGTGTTAATAGAAAGTTATTGAACACGTTTTGAGAGTTTCCCCTTATTAACGCAAGCCTTGTTATGACAGCTACGCATGCTCATTTAGATTGTTTAATTAAGGGAAACATAGTAAAATACTGCCTTCCCACAAAATACAATAGGGAGTTATTGCACACATACTATAACGTCAAACCTTAATTAAATACTGCCTTACTATAATAAGGAACTACCTTATTTTTGACAGCACAAATTGAGTTATTGCATGTGACAGTTTACAAGCAGTTAACACTCAACGTATTTATTTATTTCTAACCTCAAATTATTTAAATTTTTTATGATTGAGTATTTATTTATTTTCTGTGGATGCAATGGAAGAAGTTTTGGAAGCTCTTATTCTGGGTGACGCTGCAGATGATGATTATGAGTATGTCATTATGGATAATATTTTCGTTAATCGCGAAGAAGTCAACCAAGGGCCCCCTTTCGATTTTAATACCTTAACTGAGGAAGAGGTGTTGCTAAACTTTCGGTTTTCAAGAGCAGATCTTCCAAGATTATTTCATGTAAATTTTAAAGGTTATGATACTACTCAGCTGATGCTTTAAGGGAAAATAAGGTTACCTTAAATCCTTACCGTATTGGGACGTAAATAAGGGAAGGCAGTATTTTAATAAAGTTCCCTTAATTAAAAAATTTGTCTGCGCACGCGTAGATGTCAAAATAAGGTCAGCGTTAATAAGGGAACTGCGTCGTAACGTTTGCAATAACTCCCTAATAAGGATTTAAAGTAACCTTATTTCCCTTATCACATCAGCTGTCAAAATCTTGACCTCCAAAATATTTTTGTGTTAGGTATATTTTGCGATTTGCCTTTTTTTATATGTATATTATAACGGCTTCCAAAATTTCATCCATTGCAATCACAGACATGTGGTAAACAAATCCAAATATTACGTTACAAATAACGTCGGCGAATGTCAGTGAAAAATACAGTCTCCTTCTAAATAAGGTATGGCACTATTAATAAGGTTTAACATTTTGCACTGATCACATTTAAAATTCTTGAAAATATCGTGATAAAATGTGGTATTTTAAACAATGCTCTAAGGTGTAATTACATTGATTGCAAATGAAATTTTTGCAATTGTATTTACTTTTGGCCATTGTAAATAAACAAAATGGCGGTCTTATCCTACCAATATAGTTATTACAATGTGCTGTCACCAGAGGTCTCACTAGTCACTGTTAATGTTAAACGCGAATAGAATATAGTTTAGTAACTTGCTCTGCATATTGTACTGAAAATTTTGAACACACTGTCTATACAATAACATAGTCAAGCTTATAAACATTTTCACTAAAGCATCTGCTGTTGCAGATTGTCCAACTGAATTCCAAAATATTATTGTGTAAAATTTTAATTTCACCTTAGGATAGGGCAAAAAATCTATCAGTTACAGAGATTCCAAATTCAAGACTCAAAAATCAAGGGTGAACGACCGATTAGAGATGCAATGTACTTGAGAAACATCAACATTCACCCTGCGTTACCTACTAAGCTGGTTAGCTTCTTTGTCGCGCTTACTCATAAAAAATAAAAATCCGAATGTGTTTCAGATATATACTCCAATTTTTTATTGGTAATAATTTACATAATTTAAATCGTTTATATTTTGTTTCCTATTTTGACTTTTGAGGTCTACTGCATTGCATTACTATGGATCAACATAAATACACTTTGAAATTGATACAATTTGCTGTTTTTTTTAGCTATTTAAGTGTCAGAATTACAGGTGGAATACAATACACAACAAAAGTATAATAAAATGTGGACGTATTTTGTAATTGAGTTGAAATAAATAATAGCCAGTTGGCGTTTGAACTTTGGAGAGGAAACTTTGTTGTTGACAATTACAACTTTAATGATGCCAATTCAAACTATTTTAGTAATAGCCGCTAGTAACTGTATCTGACTTGTCAGTTGAAAAGTACAGATTTCCGAGACGGAATTGAATCGTGATATCTTTTGTTGGAAGTTTTCAAGTAGTATAGGCTCCTTGTATATTGTTACTTTCACAGATAAAACACTGTTGACCACCATAATTAAAAGCAAATAAAAGTTGGAGAGCACTCTCCTTACACTAGTTAGGCACTTTAATTTGGAACCAGGGGTTTGAAATATTCGGAAAATCACTCAGCAAAAAAAGTGGTGAGAGAGAATAGAAGGTTACTTAGCTACCTAAGCAAAATTGATTAATATTCTTACATGTTGGCATTGAGTTGTCGAAGATCTAGAACTTTGGTATTGTAAGCATCCCCCCTACCAATTTCTACGACGATTCTTCGTGTTTTTTATAGACCAGATACACAACATAAATCAGTTGGAAAACTTGCTTACACTTTTACAGACATTAAGCAAAACCACAGCCATTTTTACAATTGACAACCATTAAGATTTTTGTAATTTTTATTAATACTCGGAATAATAACCTGTTCGATTAACTTGTCATTGTATTCAACAAACCTTTTCCTCCATTTGTTTTTCTCAGGATCCGACTTTTTGATCCCTGGCTTATGAACTAGAAAGGCATTATCCAAAACGAAGAAGGTATAGTTCCTAAGGCACAATTCGTATCCCTAGGAGCGAAATATTGAAAACAATGCACTAGTAAATGATCACCTACTTGTACAACTTTATCTTTCATCCCCTCCCAGGACAACCTCTCGTCATACAAAGGTTCCGCATTCGTTCCAATATATATAGGTTCCCAATGGTAATACTTCCCCGTCCTTTTTCCTAAGGTAAAAATTTGCAACTCGCTGGTCTCATTCGCTTGTGCCCACTCATCAAATTCGGGAATCGTATGGCAGACGGAACAAATATTTTGATGGAAGCGAATCACAGTTCCACGCTTCAATAGACGAATCAGGTCGGTTTTATTCGTGGGAACGTCGTAACCCTTTTCAATCTCGAAAATGTGCAACACAAATACAACAGGCTTATAAGGCAACATTTTGTAATCACAGGCTGCTATTAAATTTAAAAACTGTGGTATAACGTTTGGACTAGGGTACAGTTCAATATCGGAGGTGAAAACGTAATACGTCTCGGCTGAAACTCGCGCCACATTTCTTCCCACATTAATCGGGTAGATCAAGCTATGCTTGCTCACATACATGTCTTTTCTGTCTACGTTTTCAAATGGAGGGTTAGTGGAGCAGTTGTATGTCATGTTTGCGATGAAACTTGGATGTGGAATCTTAAAAATATTTAAATAAACAAGGAAGCACAGTCTTTAAAAGGTTACGGTAGTGTCACAATTTACACCCTTAAGACTCAGCTATTACTGTTTTGAATAAAAAAAATTAATTATTTGAAGTATACCCTCAGTAGGTTTCATATAATGAGTGGAGTTTTGAACCTCAATTCAAATTACGCTCACAACATTTGACGATCCGACGGTATCAGTCATAAAATATTATTTCCGCACAATCAGCCGCAGATGTGCGACGAATGACCACATGAAATTCAATAAGTTTTAAGGGTTACAGAATTTCATTTCGTGTGTTTAAAAACTTCCGTTATTGTTCGTATTTATCGTAATAGTTTCCATTACGCAAGTCACCCTTTGAATTTGAGAGTCACTAAATTTTAATTCATGCGTATGTTCAGCTTCCATCATGAGGAAAATTTTGATATTCACATAAACTATTTTAATTTGAGAAATTCAGCAGCCTTAACCGCCTGTAAAATTAATTAAGAACCCGTTGATGGTGGACAAAATAAACTCGACTTATAATATTCACTTAAATAACGAGAGATTAGATTATTGCACTACAACTGCCTTCTGCGTAACTTTCACAATTAAACAAGACCGACTATCTCTTTAAAGAGCTTTGATAACAACAAAAATGACTGTTTTGCAAACAAGGATGCTCAAATACGGCCACATTTCAACATAAAAAAAAACTCGATTCACGTCTTCTACCAAAAAAGAGTCACGTTTAACCTCTGCCTCTTCTATTTAAAACAATTTCACTTTCTCAGTTCTGTTTCTCCTTCCTTAACCAAATACTGCGTCTTTGAAAGAATTAACATCTCCTTACTTCGGCAATAACACGTGCTTATCTTGAAACTAAGCAGCGATAAGGGCAAAGACCGGAGGAAACTTTTACAATAACAATAAACTTAATCTTTTAACACGTACATAAATCTTTACAATAAAATAAACAAAAGAAACAAAGTGATTATTTAAACAAAATTAACAACATTAAATAATTTCGACAAAAATAAAATTGACTTCGAATTTAAATAATGTCTGCAATACTTTTGAATGACACATAATCAAATCATTGGCGCAAAAAAGTTTTTTATATCTCGTGTCATTTTGACAGCGTTTACAAATAATGTGCCAAAAGCGCAAGACGCGAATACGCCGCAGAGCGCACGCAATCGCACTGCAGAAAATCATACTCATATTCCAGAACGGTTGAAGATTTGTTTGCAAGACATTTAGTACTCTACAATTTATTTTCTATACGTTTTTCGTATTTATTTCGGTTTGCTTTTCGTTTCGAAATGCGCGCGAACGTGATTTTGGTAAGAAAACTCCATAAGACTCCACTAGCGGAAGTGTGATAGACCGGCCTATGTTTTTCGGATCTCTTACATTGTATGGACCATATACATTCACTTTATGATTATACTCAAGATAGGGGGTTCATACTCTTATTATTTTGCATAGGCCATAGCCTACTGCATATGAAAGACGAACTTAATAGCACCTTTTTTATAGTTTAATTATTACAAAAGAAATAAAAGCAAAGGAAACAGCACCTAATAAGTGCTTATAATTAAAATCTATTGAATACATGAATACCTCAATTATGAATACTATATGTCAATTCTTGCAACTTCACCTGCAGTGCAAAGTTCGCTCTCCCACAAAACATGCAACAAATAATATACAAGACGTGACACTACCATAACCTTTCAGCAATGACAGTACGCACATATTTACCTCATTAGGAGCATGATCCTCTAAGAAGAACAAATGGAAAGTAACCAATTCAGCAACTTGAGAAGTGCATCTTCGTAAATACGCGATGGATTCGACTGTCTTGTAGAAGTCCGTACCAGGTGCATGCATTGCCAGACTTATAGGGCCATTCCATTTTTCCAACAGAGGCCCTAAATTATCTAGAAAGGTAAAATCAGCATGGGTGACATACGTTACACTTTCTTCGCAGTTGAATCTTTTTGATGAAGTCACATAATTATACAAAACAACATAAGAGTTGCGTTTGCCAACGCTATACTCGGCATATTTATTTGTACAGTTAGTTAGAGCTTTAATACTTTGTGTTTCAGTAAAACTTCCGTTGTAAGTACACTTTAATGGGTACAATTCAGTCGGTGTTAGGGTTGCGGGTGTGCGATTTGTGGAATGTACCAGAACAAATATAACGGCAATTACTCCAAAAATACAAACAAACAACAAACAAAAGTATTTCTTCTTGGTCTTATCTGCATCACTCTTTAGATGGTTGTTGTTGCGGTTGCTGCTCCGCATCTTTGTATTATGTCGGACGGAATTTTATGGATCAAATTTAAATTAGCTGGTTTTTGGGGTTACATGGTGTCGTTTGCAAATATAGACCGAATGTGTTTTATAAATAAATTAACATAACGTATAAATCTTTTCAACACATGATTATTATTGATTTTTAGTTTACAACCTAACCTTCCGTTAAAGGTTATGTCACATATGGTCACATGATGAGAGAGTCAACCATAGATTACATAAAACCTCGTAGCATAAAACAAACCTTAAGACAGTGCCGCATTAAGCACGAAGCCCGTTCTACTTTTCTTCAGTGTATCATCTAACTTTCTAGAAACTAGACCCTTTGCTAGAACATAACCAAAGCCACAGAAAAGAAGTAATGAGACCCAATGTTGCCAGACGAACCTTTCCACAAATACAAGGGTAGGTAACACAAAAACAAACAGGGGAATTATTAGTCTTACATAAAAATGGTGTTTATTGTAAATAAAAAAATTCTTCTCAAATATCAAGCACAATACAAAGGAAACACAAATGCAATAACGTCCCGAATCACAGCAATTAGTGAATGACTTATACAACCTTTCCTCGATTTTGACCGACCAAGAAGCACATCCTTATCATACTCTCCAGAATATCCCCTCCCAATGTTCCTATTTCGTTCCCGGGGGGTCCTTATGGTAATGTGTTCATCGGAGTGCTGGGAGCATACACCTTACGTATAGTTGGCGGTAGTTAACATTCTTCTTAGGCGTGGAAAGCTCTGGGTCAAACCCTGTTCGGAGCTGTAACAAAGCCGCAAAAATCAACCCAGTGAGCACAAGTATGGTAACTACTTTCTTCGTGTCTTTACTACCAGACCACTACACCCGGATCAGGCACAGGTTATTTATCCAAAGTAAGCTCTTTCCTGATTACCTACCCAATGGGTTGTTGTTTGTTAGGGAATTTGAACATTTTTAGTGACGAGTATAAACTTCGATCAAAACTGTGTCAAATAAACAATTTAGATTTGTTGAAGTTCTAGCGTTTTAGTGACATTGAAATTGCAATTGAACCATATGCGACTCTGCTATGTTAAAAGGAAATTAGGAAAAGGATGAGAATAATGAGCGATGGACACTTTGTAGACACTCCACATCATTAGCTTCAATGTTTCGCTACTACTAAAATTGATCCACGCGCAGCGTTGTATCTTCGATAAGTACTAAGTACGCATCCATATCCCAAATCCCTTGAGGTGCTTGCATTGTACAGGATTTGGGCATTCTTCAGTGAACTGTAAACATGTCTGGGAGGGCGTTTATGGCAAAACATCCCCCGTGGACAATCCGTGCGAAATTCCGACGGACTACCTGCATATAATTGCAAGAAACAAAAATTTAATTAGAGTATTTACAAATATTATCGTATCCATATGTCTAAAAGAGGCCGAAAGAAAAGGATTTGAGTGCCTTCATAAGCGGTAATCACAAACGTGTCCGTTTTACAACTATTGGGGGTGTCACATTTGAGTGCCAGAAATCCAATAAGCATGTTGTTCAAATAAACTGAAGATCGCAAATGTTTTGTTTGGAAGCGGCCGCCTTTAAACAAACTCCAAAATTGCATTTCGCTTTTAACCTTTCTCATCAACCAAAGACATTGGGTATGCCGTTTCAAATTTGGGAAAAAAATCGAAAAATTCTTACCTCAAGATTGAGCACCTCTAAACAGAGTAAGAAAATAAATGTGATTTTCAAAAATGGTTTTTGGTTTAACATGAAAATGTGGAATCTGAAATTAGTGTTAACAATTCGGAAGTGATAAGAATTTGACGAAATTGTAAGTACGAGGGGAGATTTTTATGTAATCTACCTAGCCATGAAAACCCCGAGGAATGGCAATGATTTTTAACTGACAAACAGCCTCAACATTTATAAGTATTCTGAGCACGTGGCGTACAAATTGAAAGAGTTTTGTAATTTTGGTGGCGGTTTGAATGTTGAAAAATGGGTGATCGAAAATTTGAACACAGAAGCGTTATAAAAGTTTTCGCTAAGGAGGGTCAAGGCCCAAAAAATTATCACCGGCGGTGACCCCAAGTGTCTCACTGTGACCCTTCAACAAAATAAGAGTCGATGCAGTGAGTCTCCTCCACCAAAAAAGGCGAAAACTCAATGTTCAGCAAGAAAATTGATGGCAACGGTTTTCTGGGATTGTGAGGGAATTCTGCTGATTGAATACATGCAGAAAAGCACTACGATTACCGGTGATGTTTTTAAAGAGACTATTAAAACCTTAAAGCTGCCATCCGATGGAACTCGCTCAGAATTTTGCCGATAAGACCATACTGCTGCACGACAACTGCTCAAGGCTCAAAAAATTCGACAAGTTATCGATGAATGTGGGTTCCAGGAGTTAAGGCATCCACCCTACAGTCCGGATTTAGCACCTTGCGACCACTATCTCTTCCCCAATTTGAAAAAACATTACGAGGCAAAAGATTTGCTTCTGAAAAGACCTGAAAGTTGCTGTTAGTGGAAGAGCTACCGAAAGAATTTTTTTTAAGGTATCTGTTTATTATGGAAACGGTGGAATAAGTGCATAGGCCTTGAAGGTTCATATGTAGAAAAATTAATTTTGTTTTGTCTTAAATTCCTTTTCTTTCATATCTAGGTAGATTACATAAAAATCTACCCTCGTAATTAATGAAATTGTCTCGGGGAAAACGATATATTGAAGTCGTATCGATTTATAGAAATTTGAAGTTTTAAACTGCAGGTAGGGTGTTTCTCGCGGCAATATGAACTGCGTTGCTAAGGAAACCTTTACTCAAATATCTGTCAATTCATTATTGCTATTTGATTTAAACATTTCGAATTTAATGATTGTTTAGTAGTTATTTTGAATGATATAAAGTTAAAAATGCTTGATTCTGAATTTTCTCTGACTTTACCTGAGTTAGTATAGAAGCAGTGAATGTAGTGTCACAAAAATTGAATACCTATATCTTTACTTATGTGTATATGCGATTATATCCGGGAAAAAAGTACTCACTTTTATAATAATTCCAGGACTCTAGGACCATTCCCCTAGAAGTAGTTCAAAACGGCAGAAGTACGTGGGTCCGGACGAACGGTCGGACGGACAAAACGCAAACAATATCACATTTTTTTTAATTCTTAAAATATGCACTAAAAACACAGGTAATTATTCGATTGAACACAATTAATTAATCAGGTAGCAAATAGCAATTTTGTGATGCGTGGTATAAACATCGATTTCGTCAATATCTTTCACATTCAGTTTTTTTTCAAAGCCATTTTTCGTAAATCTCAAAAGGATTGTTGTTTATATTTTTTAGTGTTATCAGTTTTGATTTACAGTTATCCATTTTCGCTATTCAAACTTACTACCCCTTGAATTTTTAAAATATCGTTGTGCGGTTTTGTATTTTTTACGACTGTTTCTAAAAGTTTGTTAATCGCAGACATGCCAAGCAAAACCGGAGTGGGATAGTGTGATATGTAGGTACCTACCTACGGCAAGCAATTTTCCTGATTTTTCTTTGCGACGTTTCATTTTTGTTCGTAGGTACATTTTGTTTTCAGAGATCTAAATTTCTTTTTTGGTCTACCGTTCTTTCTGTTTTTGACAGGGCCACCCAGCACCCTATACGGTTTGCATGAGTTATGCAGATACATGTGACACACGTAGGAACGATTTCATGAAATCTCAATTTAAGTTATAACGTCCGGGAAGAAAATAAGATCGTTTGCCATTTAATCTTAGTAAATCATAGATATAAAAGGTTCCGAAATATGTAAATGTTTGCTATCCATTAAGCGTCTATTTTTTTCATTCTAAATGAATGGGGCATTTAGTGCTTAAATTGGAAATGTATAAAAAGCGATGCTATTAATCATCATATTAAATGGGAGGTACGTGAGGCTATAACTCGTGGTACCTTGCGTTAAAAGGTAAGACGCCCAAAAACAGGATTATATGAACTTTTATTACGCCATGTCAATATTTCACACAACGCATGGAGGAATTTGCGAATTTCTGTCCTTTAAGTTGAAGACCATTGTGAAGAAGTAATAAGTCAATTATGAAATGCTCTAAATCATTCTGAACTGCCGTAATAAATACATTCAAATTTTGTTTACATTTAAAATTTTTTTTCACGAGTGGGGAATACTTGTTGGGGTGTGGAGTTAAGTTACGATATAAGACCTGACAATTGAAAATGACCAGTCAGTCTACCAACCTTTATTTTGAGTGTTGGACCGTCCGCTACTTATTTGTTTACGTGCATAATGAAATTAATTGTAAGTATTAAATTTTGTAAGAAAATTTCCCATTAAATGCGAGTAATCCGGTTTTTCGATCACTTTTGAATGCCTAACTCCTTTTTTGGGTATTTTTTCCGCGAACTGATTTAAATGTTATCCCTAAGTATTTGATCGGGGTGAACGTTTTGAGAAATTAATTATTATTGATAACAAATACATGTCAGGTTGTTAACCTTAATTCACGTATGTCCTGCAAGAAATTATCTGCCTTGTAAAAAGGACGCTTTGAATTCAAAATCATTACCAGCAACTTCTTTACCTTCAAGAATTAATGAGCTATACATACATTAGACATAATTATTAATAAGAATTTTATTTTTTTTACTATTTTTTTACAACAGCCTTAATGGCATTTGTCATATTAAAGACGTTGGTCACGTCGTTTTCGACATGTATGTCACGCGCTTCCACAAGCGTCGACCAAACAATATAATTGCTATATTAACCTTATTGGGACTTTTTCAATGCGTCCTCAAATAACTGAAAAAAATGCTACATAATTTGCTGCCTCTTAATCAATCTATATTTGTACGAAAGAAGAAATATATAATTATTCACATAAGTACTGATGCTCTAGTTTTAGCGAACTTATTCTAAATTTACCTATACAACCGTGAGGTCCTATAATTGCTTTTACACCTCGTTTGAAAACGATTGGTGTTCGTATTTTATTAAACAGAAACCAACGCGAATTTGATATTCATGCAGAACTGATGCCAAAATTCCAGTTTTTACAAATTGACCACGTCTAACTTGCCTTGAACCTTGAACTGAAGTTGATGCATTGTGACAACTTATAATTAACTTGGGATTTAATGGAATTATTGTTAAATGTAAGCATTGGGTTGTTAAGTCTTACAATCAACAATTTTTTTCTACTGCATTAATACTACCAGCATGCAAAACGCAACTCCCGGTACTTTAGTTAAGTACTACCATTATGTAATTACATGAATGTGCCAGTACTATCCATCAGGTCCGACTGTCTGTCTTAAATGATTCCATATTAGCTAATACGATTTTAGTATCGGACTGGTAAAAATAAAAATTAAATTAAAGAAAATTACCATCCACTTCTTTCACAACAAAATTCATCTTGAGAAAGGTTGCTAAAACCAGTCTATCAGGCCCAGGCAATCCAAAAAAATTCTGTAAATGTACAATGATTATATTTCTAAAATAGGTACCTATACATTCTTGACATTTAATGCCGGTCGACAAAAAAATATTATTTGGAACTAAATTGTTATTTATCTTAGTTCAGGGTCGAAAATCTTTGGAGTATATCGCGGTCCTCAACAAAACCTTCGTTTTATAAAAAGAATGCAGTGAGTATAAAGTATTTAAACAATGGTAAAACCCATATTAAGTATACAGGGTGATTCCTATAGTACCTGCCACCGTTTGGGAGCGTGTAGGTGGCGCGTAGGGGAGTATTTTGATATAGGACACTTGGGGTCGGAAATCTAAAATAAGGGTGCCAGAGCCAAATTTACCTTCTGGAATTTGGCGCCTGTAGGTAGGCAACCCAACCGGCCGGCGGTGCACACGGAGCGATCTCAGGCGGCGATGTGTGGCTGACACTTGATCAGAATTTTGTTTAAACCCACGAAATCCATGTCTGCAACGACGCGTATCAAGTGAATAAACACTATGGCAATAGTATAATAATAGTTGGCTAGATGTAGGAAGTGCATTGAGAACCAACGGTGGCCACGTTGAACACTTGTAAACGTTATTGCTTTTGACTGTCGTTTTCCCTCCTTCCCTCCCATGTCGCTTCCTCGCGCTAACTCGCTCTGCATCGCTCCGCGCGAAACGTCGGTCGGTTGGGTTGCCTACATACAGGCGTGAAATTCCAAAAGATAAATTTGGTTCTGGCGCCCTTATTTTAGATTTCCGACCCCAAGTGTCCTATATCAAAATACTCCCCTAGGCACCCCCTATACGCTCCCAAACGGTGGCAGGTACTATAGGAATCACCCTGTATATTATAGGTAAATTTCACGTACAAAGGGGGACGTCTTATTGATTCACCAGATCCAGATCGTGTAGAAATGTTCCTTGCTGTGTCACCTAATGAATATGGCAATTTTACATATCCTCTGATTTTTGGGTGGATAATACAAAAACTAGTTGAATTAACTTGGCCTTTTGTCATGTCGTCGTGGTGCGAGTGTATAGGACTTTGAGTAATAGGGGCCGCATCTCAAAATGACTGCCGGTAACTAAATGTCGATTAGTACTATCACTCATTTGATACAATATAGGACAACTTAAACCTAATTGATTTGATTTTAATTTTCAAGTTGAACAATGATGAACCTGCCTATAGTCAACAAAATTATTCGGCATAAGTGCCTGCATGAAAAAACGTTTGCATTCTTCTACAGGTGTTCCATTAGGCGTAGTAAAATAGTAAATTACAACCTTCGATATAATTTACATAACCACGTCTTCATATTTAAGCATTTGGTAATTTACATACTATACTATCTGGTTATACTTATTATGTACTAATCTAAATACTATTTTAAATTTTCATTGTGCATTTTTACGAGCTCATTCACTTCAAGGCATCACAAGGAGTTATTTAAGTTACAGTTATTTGGAAAAATTAGCACCCAATATCAAAGTTTGCTCACCCATGTCAAGGGAACTCTTTTCTTTAATTTTACTCTAACTGTGTGTTAAACCAAATTGGCGTAAACTAACAATATACCTGCCTAATAGAGTTCTATTTGTCCGCGAAAATGTTTTTTTTGGTGGTGTCATGGATCGTGTCGAAAGGAGGGAATTCAAAAAAAATCTGGGATTATTCAAAGAGATCCGGAACTTCTGAAGACATCCGATTAAACAGAACCAAGAGATCTAAGGAAATTCCAGTCGATTAGAGATATTTGAAATGTATGGAAGAAATTTCAAGTATGTAAAAAACTCCCTCAATACATGCCAAAAGGAAATACCAAACTTTGTGCTAAAGTATACTGAACTGGAAATAATTTACGACAGTGGTTCTCAGATGTAGAATTTCGACCATTCGTTATTTGGAAAAATAGTTTGTCTCCTAAGCTTCTAAAACCCTGCAATTCGGCTTTAAGTTATTAAACGGCCACATAAACTGTCTTACTATCTTGTCTGACATTTACTTTAATGTTCCTCAAAGATTCGTTCGATCTTCGAGGCTTCTTTACATGAGACCTAATCGAACTCTTTACATTCGTAACAGTCCTCGAAATCGATTGTTGGAGTCATTGAACAAATTTAATGATAAAATCGGTTTATTTAGTATACCTATCTCTCCCGATTTTCAAATGCGCAACAGTACAATAATTTTAACTGAATGTTACGTGTTATCATCAATGTTTAAATTTAATTATTTCGTGTAATCTACTTACGTACACGCAGTTGTTAGGTACGATCATTTATTATTATAGTAAGTACATTATATTGTAAATTGTCCTAGGCGTAAATATACACTATTATATTATTATAAAACTGAATAGGAGCCAGGTTAGAAAAATCACCGGTGTCCTCGCCGGGCACTGGATGATTATTTTTGTGTTTTAAGCCCCAAACTCGCATAATTAGTCACAAAGTTAGGTAATTAAATAAATAAAATAAAACTCAGGGGTATAATCTGAGCCTTGCCTACCCAATTGGGTGCTGATAAGAAGCTACATCATTTACGGCTTATGTGCCCCCCACCATGCGCAAAAGGGTCAAATTATGGTTAACTCTAATTAGAGAAAAAATAGGGAAGGAGTGATATTCCTTAGGTAGCTATATATTGAGCGATCGAATACTGGGAAACCAAATTTATTGAGAATGAACGTTTCACTGCGAATATCCTGGAGATGAATTTTCGGAGATAACTTTTAATGTCCGGGTGAATTCAACTAAAAGTAGTGAAAAACTTCAAAACTCGGGTTTCTTTGGATTTCTTTTAGAGGAGGATTTATTTAAACCCAAAAATCTATAACAATTATTTCATAGTTAGAGAAGAAATAAAATGCAGTGGTTTTTTTAATGAAAACCGTACAATTTTGATCCATCAGTTTTAATCTAAGCTGAGGTTTTGGCTCTAAGTCATGAAAACGAGATCCGTTTTCGCATAGCTTCGGTGAGATCTTGCAGATACTACGTCCAATAGTAATTGTTCAATTTTTGGAAATATGTGGAATTTTTAAAAAGGCATTGGTTTTTTTCGAGAACCGTTATAGAGATTGATATAATTTCATCGGAAATCTACCAGCAAAATGTCTCATCTGAAATTAAACTATAAACCTACCCACTTCCAAAAATGAGTAGGTACATACATATATTAACTGTGAGATACCAATTTATAGCAGTAATCAAGTAGTTACCTATTCCATAATAAAAGCTGCACCGTTTGAATCTTATATTCAAAAGGTGCAAGCTTCTATTTTTTGTGCTGGAGGTGTGAAACCCACGATTTAGCAGTAATCGATAGGTACTACTTTCTGCAAAAAGTAGATTTAGTACCGGTGATCTCTGTTTGTTGAACTGATGGTAATCCATTTTGTATGTAACGTTAGGTACACAAACCTTACGTGAATATCAAATACGTGGGCATTAAATGCCAAACGGATTATATTTCCTATAAATAAGTTATTGCAATAAAACTGTATGGTAATTATTGGCATTGACTTTGACTTTATGGCAATGAACCTTTACATGTGGAAATGTAGGTGTGAATGGCAAATAGGTTCTTTTCTCATATGAGTTACTACATCATTCTTATATCTGTTGTGTTTAGCGAACACATTAATTTGCTATTCCGCAAAGTTCTTTGTACAATAACATCATTTGCATTTGTCAATAACCATGTACTAATCCGTTTTACGCAATAAGCACGTACAAAGATCCGTCTCTGGTCTACCGCCTTTTTGTGCGAAGAGAAATTTCACCTTCTTCGAAGAAATGCGAAATTATGCATGCGTTTTTAAAGGTCACGCCGGTAAATTGCGAAAACGTTTAACGGGTTAGGATGGCAAGCCCAAAAAGTCTTTGCGGTAGAATGCAAAAAAAACACCATTGCAGACAATGACTCAAAATTTCCAAAGGTTAAGGTAAACAAGATGGTATTTAAAAAGTAGGCCGGAAGATTAAAGGTTGAATTTTAAATTCTAGGTGATAAATTGAACCAAATAATTATTCAGCTTTGATTAAGTTATGTCAATAAAAAAAGTTTATTCAGAAAACAGTACATTGATTTTTAATTGCATTTACCTGAGAATGTAACAATGAATACATAAAAAACAAACAATTGATTATTATAATATTATAAGTAATATTAATCGACAAAAATGAATAAGTAATTTTCCACTTTAAAAATAGAACACAGAACATCACGTATGCACGTAGTTTGAAAGATTATTAAAGTGTCACAAAATAATTACATAATGATGGCACTTACCTCTGGTTCAATGCTCTGTCTATTAGGTAGGTACGTACTTCTTCCATACCTTCCTACAAATATTTGGAAATTTACCTATTATTGATTGGATTATCGACACTAATATGTTTAAAAATCCTCCTAATTACATCTAAATGTGTGTGCGGTGCGCTAAATATTTAACAATTCTGTGCTGTGTTTAGGGGTCTGTAACGTTAAGGTGCAAAAATTGAATTGATTATTTTAAAATGTATGAAAACATGGATTGCAGCGACCAGCTCAATCGAATTGGAAATCTGTACACGTACCGTAGACTTCCCGCTGGTATCAAAAGTAATTTTTAAGTACTTATTGATACAGAAAGGCTGTTTGCAGCTAACCTCCCCTACCATAGAAAGTCTCTCATATAGATTTGGCAGAGAATAAAAAACTCAAAAATACAAAAGGTTGAGTATCTCGATTCCAAAAGAAATGTACCTATATGTGTTTTAATGTCTTTATACACCTCGATACATTACTAACCACTTTTTTCCAATAGTTGAGGTAGTTAATATTCAAAATAAAAATGCCCATTTCTCTCAGTTGGGTTGCGCAATAAAATAAAACTTCAATTTCTAGGTGGCCACCCGTACAACTAAATCGACCTCCTTGAATATAATTTTCGGCATAACTTCGGCATGACTGAAATACATGTATAGTACGCTAAGTTGCTAGGAGCCGGCAGGGCGCTAGTGCAGAGTGCTACAGCTTCTGCGGATCATCGTCTGTGCAGTCCCTTGCCATGTTTTGTTAGAGCATCGAAAATGTATTAAACCGACGTGAACCAAAGGGTAACGTTATCAGCATTTTGCACAAGGTTGTATACAGTTTACAGTCACTGAACTGCGTTTTTTCCAAATATTTGGCAAAAAAGGCAAAGTCATAACCAGGATATTAGTGCGGACTACGAAATTGATTCTATTGGAGTACGCAAGTTTTGATAATTATCTTAATTCAGGTCTGCGATAGCCCTTCATCTCTTAAAATAACTTTTAAGGGTGTAAGGATTGCTTTTTTTGTATAATATGATCAAGGTTTTTGAAATGTGAAGCCTCGTAATGTGGTATATAAACGTATACGAACGAGTTAAAGGTTTAAAACCAAAAAGGCAAATGTGAGGCGCTCGGAATATCAGCAAAATTAGAGATGACCTTATATATGTAAAATGGAATAAATGAAAAAAATGAAATAAATGAAATAAATGAAATAAATGAAATAAATGAAATAAATGAGTTAAATGAAATAAATGAAATAAATGAAATAAATGAAATAAATGAAATAAATGAAATAAATGAAATAAATGAAATAAATGAAATAAATGAAATAAATGAAATAAATGAAATAAATGAAATAAATGAAATAAATGAAATAAATGAAATAAATGAAATAAATGAAATAAATGAAATGAAATGAAATAAATGAAATAAATGAAATAAATCAAATAAATGAAATAAATGAAATAAATGAAATAAATGAAATAAATGAAATAAATGAAATAAATGAAATAAATGAAATAAATGAAATAAATGAAATAAATGAAATAAGTGGAAATAAAACAGACAACATAAATTAAATACCAGTTGTTGACGAATCGTTGTCGACAAAGTGTACTGAAATAAAAGATCACTAAAATAAATTCGTTTTCAAAATTAGGGAAACCTAAATCGAAAACTTTTGCAGTTGTATTTTATGGGCAAAGGTACACTCTTAGGTACGCCACAAAAAACCTCTCCATACTCTAAAAATTTTATTTCATCTATGCCGCGCCCATATTTTATTATTGTTTAAAACACAATAAATAAAAGATATTTATGTAAATTAATTCGGATGGTACAGTTTTATGAGGTTATTAGTTATTTGCAACAGCTCACTAAAAGCCTTACCACCAAATTGGTATCCTTGACACACTAGAAATATGTAAGTATATAGCTGTAAAAAGTTTATTCAAATTAACATCGAAAATTTACACAAAAGATCCTATATATTGACATCATCAGACATGTAAAAAAGCAATGTAAATCTGCAGACCACTAGACTGAAAGACAAACGCGAATGCCTCCCTTTTAATATGCAGATTATTATTATAATGTAAAAACGAATCACAGTAATGACGGATTAATTGAGTCACGCATTAATATTGCCAGTTTTTTGGAGTTAATTGCATAGCTGTAACAGCAGCACAGCCTTGAATATCATTCCGGAACCACGTCTGGATTGACGACGTCCTTGCCCAAAATAAAAATTAGTTGATTACTTATTTATATTAATATTGGAATACGAGTATAATTTCCCATTTCACAAGTCTTGGATGAAAAAAATTTGCAAGTCTAATCGCCTTAATTATTACCTACCTACTGGTGTTGATTTATGTATTGTCGCTCTAATCATAAATTTTTGATGACGTGCAACTGTAAATGCCAGGTATAATTATATATCATCAATTTGAAAATTTAGTCCATGATAATAAGTGCAGTCCAATAAATTTTCATAACCCAAAAGGTGAACCCGAAACGACGGTCATTAATAGAATATGCAATAAGTGTGGTCACACCTTACTTCCGTAAATAAAGCAAAAAAAAATTAATTATGCGGAAATAAGTTTTTTGCGTGAATAATTGTGACTTATGAATGAGCTATGTGTAGTCCAGTTTCTTGTTGTAGATCATCACCCTGACAACGTGGACACTTGTGGTGGGTCACTTGTACAGTCCAAACAGTTACCAAGTGCGATATGGTGGCAACCCTTTCTATGGCAATTACAATCCCTATGGAAGCCAGTTGAACCCTTACCCTAATTTCGTGCCCATATTCTCCAACTATTACTACCCCAACCAACAAATACCTTTGGCTGTACCACCCATCAGCGATTATCCAAACATCAATGTGCTCGCCGAGATGCCATACTCAATCAACAAGACGTTTACAGTTGTACCAATGGTTGCAGTGGCACAAGAAACTATTAACTTTCTTTCAAACGCATTAATTATCCAAGTATCGAGGGAACGCCCAACGATGACTATAAAAAATGAACAGGATGCTTTAATCGAGTGCACACCAGCAGTAAAAATTGTTTTAGATCAACCTTTAACTATATACAGCTTACAAACGAGCATCATTTTTCCCACAGATATTAAAATTGAACATAAAGGATTCAAAATTCCTATTCACGTCGGTGCAGTCTTCGCTCCGCTCTCTCAAGACACCTACGTCTCTCCAGAAACACCAGTTAATGTTAACGTCGTATACGCAATCCCTACGAAGCCATTCACAATCGATTATGTAAATAACGACAAGGATGTGATCGTTAATGCGGATAATCAGGCAGTAATTGTCGAAGATCATCAGCCTGACCAACCTCCAAAAAATATTACCATTATAGAGTTTCCAACCGCGGAAGCGGAGCCGACGTTCCAAGTTGATGAGGAAGATGAAGAATTGGGTGAGTGCCGTTTTTTGTATTACGGCTTGGGGGAAGGTTACACGCGAAATTCTTGACGTGACTAGGGATATACACTTTAAAAACAAGTTTAGTTTAAGAAAAATCTCAAGGTAACGTAATTTCATAAATAATTAATTGATCGATTCAAGAATTTTACAAGTACCTACTTAAAAATGTCCTCATTAGGGTGATTACCATTTTTGTATTCGTGTTTTCAGTGAATCGTAACCCACCAGTTGGTGTGGTACCTGCCGGAATTGTTCAATCGACGCAACCGATAGTGAGCACGCAACAGTTCGTGAACTCGAAGGAGTCGCCCATCCTGACGACTTTGAGAGAAGAGGCAGCCAAAAATCGTTTTAGGAATTACGGACGTCCGATTGTTGTTCAATCTGTTTAAGAAAATGTACTCTGTATATATTTAGATTGAATACTAAGGGGGTTATATTTTAATTTTTATCATGTAAATATTGCCATATTAAAACCTTATACCTAGGTGCAACGTAATTATTTGTCAGCTCGTTTGTGAGGGTAAGAAGCATAATTAGGCCTGGTCTAGTGCTGGTCGCCTTTGAAATACTAGGTAGTATACCAGCTCCTTTAATTCTGCTCTGTAGTATCATCTAAAGCCTTGACCCAGTTAAATACATGAATATTTAGGTGAAAAGCCAATGCGATGTGCCTTTATCATATCCGTTATTTAGTACCAAAACATTTGACGACGTGAACTGTGGCCCTCCTTTAGGAGAACGAGACTTGGACTTCTAGAATACATACCTGGGTTGCAGCTCAATAAGGAAAGACGACGACAGATAATAAAATCTATATTATTAAAATAAATAATTTGTACCCTAATTTAAAATATTTAAGTAAAACTCATCTATCAACATTTACATCTTCAACATCTGTTTCAGACTCGCTTATAAGACGTTCTTCAGGAATTCCTCTTCCAGGATGAATTTCGCTCATATGTCGCGATTTTAAATGCCTTTCGAGATCTCTTCTTCTTACAAGGATTTTTCCACACAAATCGCACCTGTAACCCAATAATTAGAAAAGGAAGATAGCGATGTTCCACTTACTTGTACGGTGTATCTCCCTCCGCGTGAAGTCGAACGTGCTTGTTTAAATTACTGGGATCTCCAAAAGGCCGCATGCAAAATTTGCATTTCAACGGTTTGTACCCCGTATGCGTTCTAATGTGAATTTTAAGGCCGTACTTTCTTGAATAACATTTGCCGCAGTACAAACATATGTGTCCCTCTTTCGACTTGCCTAAGCTACTGACTAGTGTTTCCATTTGTGATTCGTCACTCTGAGCGTTGTTGATTAAAATGGCGTCGGGCGAATGATATGATGGATTGAATGTGAAATTTGGCCAAATCGAATACGGTGTGTTTAAGCTATCGTTAAAGGTCATCTTGTGAAATGGTTTAAATGCTGATGTATGAGTGGTGGGTGGCTCTGAATATGGTCGATATAATATCTTGTCGTCTTCTGTCGATAGTGAATTGGTGCAATCGCTTAATTTCGATGGATGACTAGTGGGTCGTTTTATATCGGTAGGGGAAACTGTTCTGGATAGATCCATTGCACTCTTCTGTTTAGGATTTGTGGTCAGTTTGAATGAGAACGCACTGAAAGATTTTGGTGGTGGGTTTATCGAGTCACTTTGAGTAACTAAATTCGCCAATTTCTTCCATAAATCGCAAATTGACTGCCTCTCACAACCTAAAGCTAAATGTAGTTTAAGGGGATTTGGGGACTCGTACAGAGCGGAACATCGTGTACAGATGTACCTTTTCTGCCCTTGTATGTTCGCCGGTGTAAGGAAAACCATCTGTAATAGGGTCAGGATTTCTTCAGAGAACCATAGCAATAACTCTTCTCCGATTGCTATTGACCGTACAGCTTGTAACGTCAAACTTGGGTTTTCTCCCTTGGTCGAACGTTTCAGTCTCAATTGAACGTTATAGCTGTGACAATCTTCTGATATCCGTATTGCTCTAACCCAGTGAACGTCTTTGGACCATACGTGTTCAGAAGAATCATTTAAATCCAACATTTTGCTACCATTTATTCCAACCATTATCTGCAATACAAAAATTAGCACCTATATTTATAAGCTGTCAGGAATAGATTTTGTTAAAAGAAACCGTAATATGAAAACTGCCCCATAAATAAATTGCGCTATTTTAATAAATCCGCGTCTGGGTGTAGCGGCAGCACTGTTTAATCTAAACTAAACGATCCAAGTAATTGTCAGGACAGTGTCACTGGGCATTTCGAATTTTTTTAAATCATGAATAAGGCGAAGCAACCGATAGGGGTTTGGGATAACTTCAAAAACTAATGCTTTTTATTGAAAATTGCACATTTTAACTAGGTATCGGATTCTATTCAGGGAAAATGTAAAGCACTAGAGGACATACGTTGGTAACCTCAAGAGCTTTAACTCATTAGGGAGTGTATTCGAGTGTATATTCAGCAACAGATTTTAGCTCTACCAAAGAATCTAGTTACTCTTTGGCTCTACTATTATACACGTAAAAAGGGTGGTCCTAAATATGATGTTTGTACGAATTACGAAAATGGCTAATTCTCTGGCTTATTTTATGACTACAATTTCGTATAAACATAAACGCTTCGGTACCCATCTACAGAGCATTATAATTTCACGTTTTTTTGTTTGCCTTTATATCTCCTGCAGTTTTTGAAATATTTAGCTCAAATTGGTTATGACAATGGTAGTGCAAATCTACAGAGTGATGTTCTTTCAGGGGTTCATTTTTCTACCATTTATATTTATATTTATATTTATATTTATATTTATATTTATATTTATATTTATATTTATATTTATATTTATATTTATATTTATATTTATATTTATATTTATATTTATACCATTTTCTACCCCTAAACCTTTTTTCGGTGCGCCGGCCGGTGGTAGATTATAAAATAAAAAAATTCATTTTTTGATTTGCTTAAGGAGCGTTCCACACGTATTGACAATTTCTATTGAATGTATTTAAATATTTTCGTTTTTGTGTTATATAAAATTTCATTTAATATACATGTATAGGTATGATGCGTGTGTTGATGCTTAATTCAAAGATCACAACAAAATAAGTAGGTACCTACGAAATTTTCTAAATATTGAGTCAATTGAGTGGAAAAATCTCTATACTTATCTGATCTAAAATTTCTAATGCTTTGATGTGGTTCGTTTAGTATTACCATTGAATAATTTATTATTCAATGGTATTACCTATACATACGGAAAGTGTACGTAAAGAATTTCTCCGTGTAGACGAGGCGTTTTAATTTGTTTAAATTCCACAATGTTGGGATCCAACAAACCCATTTTCCAATGACTGATTGGAATTGTGTGATTTATACAAAATTTTATTATTTAGTTGACAGGTAACTTATTTTGAGTAAGTGTGAGAGTGTCCTATTCAAACATTAAAAGTAATTAATCATTAGGTCATTACATTACTACACGCTCAAAGGCTAGCTTTAAAGTAATTTTGCGCAATATAAAACACTCGTGCATCGGCTTACCTGAACTACGTCGGGATTTCCAATAAGAAATTGGGGTTGTATCGGTGCCGACGTCGCACCTTGAGGAATATTAGTAGCAGCCGTAGCTCTGCCAGGTACTAACAGTTTGGATGAACCATTTAAATCGGAAACTGTGGCCGCGTTTGTCATCCCACATTTACTAACATTACCGAAATGAATAACGGAAAACATCATCTTTGAAAGTGACGTTCAAAGGTTACTACATGTAAAGTTAGAATTTAATTTGCAGGTTGTTAAATATCAACTAGGACGATGTCCTGGTCTCTAACCACTTTAACCACCACCCACCACCCAATCATTGGGGGGTGGTCATTGATATTCACCCCATACTGCGATTTCACTCGCGGTCCAGATCATACAGGGCGCTTACCTATCTTAGTTCTCAATGAAGCGCTTGTAAATCGAATAAGATCTCGAAATTAACTTTGACTATGCAGTATAGAACTTGAATTTTTGACGTAGGTACAAGAAAGTTTGAAGTAGATCTCTAAGAGCACTACACGCACCTGACTCTTGAAATCTATCAGATTTCCAAATACATTTGGTGTACAACGGTCCGCCCCTAAGTTAATGTGGCTTTTATGCTTCATAATACACACTTGTTTCATTATACTATTGGGGGATGGGTGATATGTTTAGGGGCGTATATTAAAAGTGTAATTTTAATATGTTGGTGAACCTGCAGGGGATTAAGAAAATACGCGCCTGCATTATCGTCGGATACAATTCAATTAAGTTTCCTTGTCCCAAACTAAAAAATTCAAGTTTTGGAAGATTTTAGACACTTCCAGGGTAATAGTGAGAGAATTAGCTTAAGGAATAGAACAAGTGTTTTTTAATAGGCCGAAAAAGCACCTTATGCTGGTCACGTGTCGGTGTTCCCGTACACGTGCCACTTCTCACAGTACTTGCACATCTCTCCAAGCGTAGTCACCCGGGAAGATTGAAGGGTGATATTAGTGATATTTGTATATCTGGTTGACAGATGCCAGATGCACTTCGGAACACACAGGTGCACGCAATCAGGTTTTCTTTATATTATGATTACTGCTTTTACATTAAGATGGGTAGATATTAATTAAATCGGTTTCATAAAACACCCTCGAATTTTGATTGTGGCTGTTTAGGGGTTAATTCGGGTATTTTCACTTTATTGATGCGGGTTTTTTTCCGTATTGGAAAGAACAATTTGGAAATCATTGTGTAAGTACGTAATTTTCCCATTCGCTTTGGCTTTTCAACGGGCCTGTCTTTAATAAACATTTTTGGCACAACTCAAGAAATTGGATGCGCTTTTTCGTCCGTCCAAGCTTTAGAAATGTATCCCACACAACTTAAGAGGTAAGAATTTCGCGAAGTAGCAAAACCGTTTGACACGGTTAATTTATTGTCTCGAAGGAACTACTTTTTCCGCGGAAGACACAACATAATCCCATTGGCTCGAATGTATTGTTTCTGATCAGCATTTTGAACAACATCTCCAATAAGTATTAAAAAAATGCTTAAAAGTTCAGAACATGACCAAATAACATGTAAAGTGTACCTTGAGCACATTTATGTCCAAACGTGGAAGGTGACAGTTATTATGTAAGTAATAATTTATCCAAATACAGGCGTTATTCTGACCAGAAAAATTATTGAATGTCCGTTATTTGACTACAAGGGTAGTAGAACATTGTACCAGTACACAAATGGCTTGCAAGCACTCTTGAACTTATTTTAAGTAAGTTTGTTTCAATGTTTCACATCACCACGATATAATTTAAGCAATGGATACACGGCTTTATACGGCACCTATCAAATTACTTTTTTAATTGGGCGCGTTTCCCCATTTAATAATCACTATAATCTATCTCCTAAAGTGCCTGGAAAATAAACACCCTGTACACATATATAGTCTGTTTAATACAACGGACAATATGCCGTTGTTTATATTTAGAAATAACCTGAAATAAAATTTCTTATTTAATACAAAAGTGGTTGAATTATTTTTGTCTGCTGAACTTAAAAATTTAGAATTACTACGTAAACCTACAGCGTATGTATCCTTTTTCCGAAGGTTAGCTCAATATATCCAAACTTGATCTCTTCTCTTCTTATTGCAAATCCCTGTTGCAATCTGAAACGTAACTCCAAAATTCCTTGACTTTTACCACTTGCCCATAAAAGAAAAACACCCAATGAACATTTTAACTGTATGTTGAAAATGAATTCGAAACTTTAAATGAATTCTATATGCATTTTCCTTTGTACTTGCTTTTTTACGAGTAGGTATATATAGGTATACTTTGTTAGGATCTTGTAATGCAACTTAAATTGAAATATGCGGCCAGTTCCTTTATGAATTATAAATAATTTAAATTCTCAAATTTGACAAATACATATACAGGGTCCTGTAACAGTGTCAGTCTTTCTTAGCTCATTTGGTAAAAAAATATCAAAAAATCTTTTGGGAAATGTCAATTATAAATGGTTGGGCATCTACAGAAATTACTTTTGAATGTACAGGGCTTTCCATTTTTACGGCGTCAATACACAGCTGATTTTTTTACATGAGACACCCTATATATTATTTTTAGCTGATTCGATGTCATTTTTCAATTCTGCATGGAAACCCATTCACTATTTGGTTTTTTGTCAATGTTGCCAAATTATTAATTTTGTTGCGAATATTTCTCAATAAGCCAGCTCCACTTTCATAAATCGTAGCAATCTTGATTTAAAAGTTAAGAAATACATTTGATCAATAATGTTAATCTGACTAAAAAGCGACACTTTTGAGTGACTTTGGTAATGAGAAAGTTCAATTGAGTGATACAGAGTGTTCACAAAAAATAGTAAAATTCCATTATTTCAAAATGCCTTACAAAAATAATTACACATTAATTAATTACATGTTTAAAACAGGGGTAGGCTGTGATAATAGAACAACTTAAGACCTTCTGCAGGGGCACCCCTAAAAAGCATTATGCGGGTCACTCTGTAATTGGGCGTAAGCCTGTTGAGGGCCTAGAACAAGAAGGACAGTAAATAAAAATAAATAAATAAATAAATAAAATAATAACAAACCAAACAATGCCAGACAGTAAACAAGTGGCACGAATTAATTATGTGCTGCAAGTGTATTCCTTATTTCGTAGTAAAATTAGCTTATTTAAAAGACTAGTTCATCTTTTTCGGAAATTCGCCTTTTTAATGAATCTTATTTTACACTTGCAGCAAATAATTTATTTGTGACACTTTTTGGCGCTCTTCTGTTTTTATTATCACGGTCTTACATCGTTTTATAAACATTTAATTAATTCATGTACTTATTTCGTTGTGTCGAATCTGGTTTCAGTGGCATGGAAGCAGATCTGGTGCATACTGCTGACCTCTTCTAAACCGACTTCACGTACTGGTCTTGGAATATGAGATGTACAAACCTAAAAAATAGCCAAACATCCGAGTTTTCGTCCAAATGACACAAAGCCTCATTCAAACACAAATTGCAAGCAAGCTGTTTGTATAAACAACACGCTGCTGATTTAAACAATAGTCTTTCATTTCTTTAAGGAAAGTTTCCTCTTATGGTGAAACCCAATTGTTAATATTGATGCATTACCGCATATACATTGTCAATGTCTGCGAACAATAAAATAAACTAAACAAATCTGAAGGCAATTTTATTTAAAATATTGTACTGCTTATTCCCCCCGGTTTAAGCTACATCTTATCTCACATTCCTAGATAAAATAACTGTGTACTTCGATTTAAACTAATATCACTTTATAAATTAGTACGGTAACGATACAGGTATGAATTTTTCTTACAACTTCCATGAAAATGAGGTCATAACATATAATTTAGATGCATGATATAGTACCCATTATTCACACTCGTGCGTAATGAAAAAGATTACAGGTTCGTAGAATTGCCGCAGAGACGAAAATAATGCAAATTAAGAAAAATTACACTTAAACCAAAAAGAACATAACATTCAGGACACACAAGTCAGAATCTAATGAAAAAAGGAAAAACACAGGGGCTACTGGACTGGAGATAAAGCCTGTCGAGTTTAAAAACACTACTTATACCAGAAAAGAAATAGAAAAGCCTCATGCACCTTATGAACGAGCAATTTGGACCAGAGTGGAAAGATAGAGTGGACTTACAGTGGTACAAAAAAATGCTATATTCTGAAGAAAAAGGTGTCGATGTAGAAGATACTTTATGTATGAGTGCAATTATGAAGAACCTTCGGTTTTGGTTTAAAAATATCAGCAAATGTTCAATATTCATTTTGGTGTCTTCATTTTTGAATTTTAAATGTTTTAATTAAAAAAATGTTTAGTTATTGTTTTGAATCAAACCCGGCTGTATTCAAACGTGTTTTTTTAAATTTCTGGCAAATGAAAAACAAACACTTTAACCTCTATAAAGAACCATTTTTTTATTTTTTGAATATCTGGCAGGTCTTACAGTGAAAGGTTTTTGCCGTTTTCCCACATTTTTCCTCCTATATAAGGTACGTATAATTCTTAAACTTTAACATAATTCTGATGTGAACGTGGAAGTTAATTAATATATGAACTAAAGGTATGTTTTTTAAACAAATCCTGTGACTGTACTTACGTTTAGTTCATCGATTTCGCTTGATGATATTCTTAAAGTTCTACGACATTGTTAATTGTAGATGTACAATAGAATGATGATTGATTGATTATTTTGTGTATAGTATTAAGAGAAAATTCTTTAAAGCGTTTATTAAATTTGGAACCCCTACTCAGTTTGTTGCAATGGCCGAATTGAGAGGTTGAATAATTTTTTAGGATATTGCTCAATAGGGCGCTGGCTTTAATTCCAAACACAAACACCACCGTTAATCCCAGCATACACATGCAATCTGCACCTAGTACAATAAGAAAAATCGCATTAGGATTAAAATTAGGAATCAATCGACCCTGAACTAGTCGGTGCGTGGGGAACATACATTGTAGATTGAATACGATGACAGCAGGGTGAATTGGGAGTCCGTTCCAAATGAACATTTAATATGAGGGTAGGCTACAAAGGCAAGTGTTTTTAAGGCCGCATATACATTGCAAATGTGCGCGAAAAATAAAAAATCAAACAAATCTCAAGACATT